AGTTGCTCTGGATAAGAGCATAAAAATGTGGACAACGTCAGTTCCTGCTGAAAGAGCTCTGATAGGTTGGAGGGCGTCCGTCTATGGAAGGGGGTGAGAACCACAAGCCTCTTAGGTTTTCTATGGAAGTCAATGTACCCAGAGGATGACGGAAACTAGATGTCCTCCGGCTACACCATGCGTTACCTTACAGAGTGCTGTTGAGGCTACTGTAGACCTTCATTGCACAACAGTGTGTTTTAATAAATTATTTGGTGATGTGAATATAAACTCAGCAAAAAAAGAAACGTCCTCTCACTGTCAACTGCGTTTATTTTCAGCAAACTTAACATGTGTAAATATTTGTATGAACATAACAAGATTCAACAACTGAGACATAAACTGAACAAGTTCCACAGACATGTGACTAACAGAAATTTAATAATGTGTCCCTGAACAAAGGGGGGGTCAAAATCAAAAGTAACAGTCAGTATCTTATGTGGCCACTAGCTGCATTAAGTACTGCAGTGCATCTCCTCCTCATGGACTGCACCAGATTTGCCAGTTCTTGCTGTGAGATGTTACCCCACTCTTCCACCAAGGCACCTGCAAGTTCCCGGACATTTCTGGGGGGAATGGCCCTAGCCCTCACCCTCCGATCCAACAGGGCCGAGACATGCTCAAGGGGATTGAGATCCAGGCTCTTCGCTGGCTATAGCAGAACACTGACATTCCTGTCTTGCAGGAAATCACGCACAGAACGAGCAGTATGGCTGGTGGCATTGTCATGCTGGAGGGTCATGTCAGGATGAGCCTGCAGGAAGGGTACCACATGAGGGAGGAGGATGTCTTCCTGTAACGCACAGCGCACAGGCCTCGGTGTAACGCTCATTCCTTCGACGATAAACGCGAATCCGACCATCACCCCTGGTGAGAGAAAACCGCGACTTGTCAGTGAAGAGCACATTTTGCCAGTCCTGTCTGGTCCAGCGATGGTTGGTTTGTGCCCATAGGCCACGTTGTTGCCGGTGATGTCTGGTGAGGACCTGCCTTACAACAGGCCTACAAGCCCTCAGTCCAGCCTCTCTCAGCCTATTGCGGACAGTCTGAGCACTGATGGAGGGATTGTGCGTTCCTGGTGTAACTCGGGCAGTTGTTGTTGCCATCCTGTACCTGTCCCGCAGGTGTGATGTTCGGATGTACCGATCCTGTGCAGGTGTTGTTACACGTGGTCTGCCACTGCGAGGATGATCAGCTGTCCGTCCTGTCTCCCTGTAGCGCTGTCTTAGGCGTCTCACAGTACGGACATTGCAATTTATTGCCCTGGCCACATCTGCAGTCCTCATGCCTCCTTGCAGCATGCCAAAGGAACGTTCACGCAGATGAGCAGGGACCCTGGGCATCTTTCTTTTGGTGTTTTTCAGAGTCAGTAGAAAGGTCTCTTTAGTGTCCTAAGTTTTCATAACTGTGAACTTAATTGCCTACCGTCTGTAAGCTGTTAGTGTCTTAACGACTGTTCCACAGGTGCATGTTCATTCATTGTTTATGGTTCATTGAACAAGCATGGGAAACAGTGTTTTAACCCTTTACAATGAAGATATGTGAAGTTATTTGGATTTTACAAATTATCTTTGAAAGACAGGGTCCTGAAAAAGGGACGTTTCTTTTTTTGCTGAGTTTATTTAGTATAGTTTTATCTAAATAGGACAACTTTTTAAAAAAATTTTCAATATTTAAATTTTTATGAAATTCACTGACGGGGGTGACACACATATAGCATATTTACGTAAACAGAAATAATGGAGTGTCTTACTATTCTCCATGGTTGGTCCCCTTGCCTATTCTTTGAAGGTGGAAGGAGCCACAGCCCACACAGTTATACACCTGAGCCTTCCCACTGCAGAACACAATCAATCCATCAATCAGATTGATGTACAAGTGTGTAGGTGTGGGTTGTAGGGTGTCTTAGTGTTCAATTTTTTTTTTATATGGGTGACTCTTAAAAGAGCCTGTTTTGAACAGCACCCTAACCTGAGAAGTAGAAATCAAAGGGAGAGAAACTGGGAATCGAATAACTGAAGTAAATGGAAGAATACTCTTATTGCAATGTGCGTGGCTCTTAAAAGAGCCTTTGGTTGTGCATAGTGTAGTCTATGGCACAAGATGTTGCCAGGAAACAGCACCCTCCTGGTAGAAGTAGGAGGTGAAGGTTTGCCTCCCGTGCTGCGTTGTTGGCCCCCACCCTGGCAACATCCTACAGCAGACCTCTCCTCTGGCACACGGCGGTGAGCTGCAGGTCCCCTCCTGGTCCTCCTGTCCATTCTCATGAAGTTACAGTATGCAGGACACAGGTAGCCTTCACACGCCTCTGCGTTAGCAGGGTGGACTCCGATGACTCGCTGGTACATCCGCCACTGGGACGCAAGAATGTCTAAGGTGTACTCGACGGTCAGCCTGGCTCGGGAGAGGCGGTAGTTGAAGACCCTGTTCCTCCTGAAGATGTTCGCTTCAAGGAAGTGCCGCATGAGGTTTGTCCAGAGCGAAAAGGCCTCGTTTCCCACGAAAACATGGGGCTGGGGTCCCCGGTGCTCTGCTCCAGGAATCAGGCTGTCTTCGGGGAGGTCCAGGGTGCCATCTCTGAGGGCCTGACCATGTGGGAATTCATGCCTGTCCCTTGATTGGGAAAGGCATGAATTCCACCACTAGGCAGTCCCAGATGGCCCTGGTCACACTCGCGACGATGCACCCAACCATGCATTGCCCTACACAGTAACTGTAGGCAATCGTTTCGAAGGAATATGGAAGATAATGTAATTATTAGACTTTTACATCACCAGGTCATTGTGGATTACTAAATTATAATATCTCTCATTACAAATGATAACATTGGATAGAGAGATGCATGTGGACACACATGCATGTGTAGCATGTGACAACAGAAGGATCAAATCAAGGATAGCATCACAAATGAATACATAAATACCACTTGAAGCTTGATGGTGAGTTGATCATTTGAATCAGCTGGTTAGTGCTATGGCAAAAACAAAAATGTGCACCCCTTTGGGTCCCCAGTACCAGGTTTGAGAACCACTGCTCTTGGGACATTCATTGGGACCTCTTCATCTGCAGACAGGCTTTCACAGCTCTCTGTATCTGAGGACAAAAAACATCACAAAGAAACAGGCTTCATTATACTCAAATTAGACAGCACTGAATATTATGTTGCTATTATCTCTGTCCTCAGTTTTTCTCTCTAGGGACTGAAACTACACAAAAGTACCTGCCCTATCCAGAGTAGCCCACATTTTTCCTTATTTGACAGCTGGAGCTGCTAATCCTTTCACCCTCTTCCATTGCTGTTAGCTAGCTAGCTAGCTACCTACAAATGCATTTGGAGTTTGTGTTTTACATTTATTTACAATTATAAATTGATCAAGATAGCTAGCTAATATCAAGTTAGGTAGCTAGCTGGTGATATTTATTTCACATAGCTAGCTAGCTATACAGTATGTAAAGGTGGCTAGATAGCTAGCTAGCTACGTTAGCAGTTCATTTGAGCTAGCCTGCACAATACTGTATCTAGCTAGCTAATAATACATAGTTTTTTTAAATGTTCAAAATGTATTTAGTTACTTGAATAGGTTCTCCCACTGCCTCTGTTTTTTGGGTCCTTAGAAAAACGGAACAATGGACAATCTTCCCGACGTTTAAACAATTTAATAACCAGACCTTCATACAAACTTGCTATGCTCAATTCTTGATGCACAACTGCACAATTTAAAATGTTGAGACAAGAAGAATGGGAGGGGTGTGTGGCTAAGATATGGCATGTCTCTTTTCAAAATGCATGCACTCTGTTCTCCAGAATGCGCTCAGATGTCTCTTGCCAATTCTTCCCCATTCATTGTGTGAATTGTTTGCCCTTTGATTGTTTATTTTGATCAATTCCGCATTACATATGTCAGCAGTAGGCCAAGTAATTGTACCGTTAATACTCGTCATTTGGATACATTAATTGCTGTTAATGCATGTATTAATTAATAATTTACCGTTCTCATTCTCAGAGTGGAAACGTTGTTTGCAGAGTTCAAAACCTGCTACACTACGAGTTTTGTAAATGTTGCTATTGTCTTTTGTTTGGAGTGCTCCATGTTGGCAATGAGCATGACTCTGTCTGGTTTCTCTGTCCTGATAATGTTGAGGGAGCGTGCGTGCCTGAGCACGCATAGAAGTACCTGGCCTGCTGCACGCAAATTTAGGAAAGTGCCCATTTGGGAATGTCTGAGTTCTGATGATCCCATATATCCAGTGGAAATGTCATAAAATACCTGAAAATATTTCCCTTGCGCAAAAACAGCTGTCTGTCTCGAGCTCACTGGTGTGGGAAACTCTGAGGGCCCGGAATAGACTGTTGACATAATGTTGTTGATACAAGTTCGCTAGCAACAGTTGATTGATTTGATAAAATGTTGCACTTCACTAGCAATAGCTCAAGTCAAGACCGATAGAAAGGGAGGCAGACAGGTGGAGTAGAGCGATGAATGTGATGTATACCATGCGTATCCCATACATACGACTAATAAAACTTGAACTTGAAAGAACCTGAATTCTCATCAGGATATTTTCTACTGTTTTTATTTGTCAGCTTTAGGTCTATGTATTTTACTTAGTTGATGATGGAAGTTATAGGCCTACTGCTGCATTGGCCTATAGGCTATCTCTGAGTTCCATGCACTAATTTCTTTACGTGTCGCCTATGGTCTTTACTATAACACCCATTTAAAAAAATTGTGCAGCGCGTGCCCCCCAATGGAAATCAAATCCCTGTCCAACTGATTCGTTCTGGCGCCGACTCTGGTTTGTTTGTGATCTGGAAAAAGTTATCAACAAAAAAATCTGGAATATGAATAGAATGGGTGTATGAATCTATATACAGTACATGCCTTTCCTATAATCAGGTCCCAAGGGATATTAATGCAAAGTTAACTCATGAGAGATACTTATGACACTGTTATTACAACATGCACAAAAGTACTACACTTATGGGAAACCACTATGACTTAATCGTCTTGACGCCATTCGATGCTAAATGCATAGTAATAGTAATAAACTATTGTCAGAGCTTCTGTGAATAAACAGATGCAATAGCCTACTTTGACAGAATCTGAGTTTCTCCATCTTTCCTCCATCCACTGTTCTTGTACCCTCCAGGATCCAGACTGAGGGCGGATGTGGCGGAGGTGCCCCCGCGGATTGTCCACCACCCCTCAGATGTGGTGGTCAAGGTAGGCAGCCCCGCCACCCTCTCCTGCCGCGCCGATGGCACACCCGAGCCCTCCATTGAGTGGCTCCGCAATGGCCAGCCCCTGGAGATGGACAAGATGGACAGCCAATCGCGGCCCATTGTTCTGTCGGAGGGCAGCCTTTTTTTCCTCAGCGTGGTGCCAGGGAGGCGGAGTCAGTCACATGAGGGCGTGTACACGTGCATGGCAAGGAACAACGCAGGCAAGGCCACCAGCCGCAACGCCTCTCTCTATATCGCAGGTAAGACTGTGGGGATGTCTTTCAAATTAGATGGACATGCGTATCTTGTTATAAATTCCAAGATGCCATGCAAAAATAATTGCACAGTAGGATACCATGTTATAGAGAGGTCCCACTGTTATAGATCATGTGAGTGAAGAGACTATGTAACAGTCTCAGCAGTGTGCTAATAAACCACTCAAGAGCTTGATTGGCTGAATCAGGTGTGTTTATACTGAGATGGAACCAAAGCCACACACAGCTGCCTTCCAGGACAAGGACTGAAAAACACTATGCCAGATGGATGTGGAAATCTGGCCTTAGAATACATTCTGTTGTCTTGGTTGGATGGCTCTCTGTGGCTCCTACATCCTGTCCCATTCACTTTCTCTCTCCCTCCATGCTGGTCTTAAATGTGATATCAAGCTGATATATGATCCTTCAGGTCCATGGGAAGCCCCCAGTAACCACAGACCCACAGACCACTGCTCCAGAGAGAAAGCGAGAGATCGAGAGAGAGGTGTTGAGATTGTCTGTGGGATTACTGAGTAGAATTAAATGGGGTCCAATATCAATGTTTACCCCACTCCCCAGGACAAACACTCTGCGAATTTACCCCTGATCCCCAGCCTCTGTTTGCACCCAAAATAGGGTCACCCACAGACCACTGGATTCCAGAGCTGGATGGTATAATTAGTGGCTGATTGACTTGTTGGGGGGAACTTCCCTGGAGCAGTACGTGGTGGAGACATGGAGCCATTGGGACAATAAGCAGTGGCACTTTACTTTCGATTGAGTTATAGTAGCAGATCGATTGTGGTATAGTTTGCGTTTAACCCTTATTTATCCAGGTTAGTCTCATTAAGATAATTGTGCAATCGTGACCTTGAGTTCAAGAATACCCTTAATACATTTTTAAGAAGTCCAGCCTTGGATCATTCCTTGATAAAGAGTGCTGATATTCTACTAGTAGTTTATGGCACTAGACCATTGTAACCATACGTGTGACCAAGCAGACACCAAATACTTTTTGTCTCATGATTCCATGTGGTGTCCCAATGTAATACCTATGTTATGACATCAGTGAAGTTTTAAACAGGCATCCTAAACGTGTGGTAATATATACATGCAAGGTGAAAAGGCCATTGTCTCTGTCCTTTTGGATATAATGGAAGGGACCTCCTTAGACCTTCAACTGAAATGGTTCACAGTGACTCTAAACGATTGAGTAAACATGACTTGTTCCTGTAAAGAGGTCAGGCTTGTCTATCATGTACTTGTGCTTATGTCACTGTAGACAGGTCAAGTTTGCTCTATGAATTGTTAGGGACCTGGACAAAAGCACTGTGTATTCCGTGTGTAGAATATCTTTATATTTAGAGCTGTGCGATGTGGTCCAAAATGTATAGTATGGTGTGGTAATGGTACTGTGAAATAAGCCTTCATTATAAGCCTTGCTAGTTTTTGGTTGTCAGAACTCAAATTTGTGGGAAGCCAAGTCAAGCAGGCAGTGATGCGTGTTGTGCTGGCCACATGTTTCCCAGGCAATGTTTATGAACTACAGGCTTGTAGACTGACTTTGACGTTGTCATGCAATGTAATGTTATGGCCTTGTGCACCAGCTAGTCTCAGACCCACTGTTTATGAATGGACGAACCTCTGTGTGTTCTTTCAGCTCTGCGTGAGGACTTCCGAGTGAAGCCCAGTGATGTGGAGGTGGCTGTGGGGGAGGTGGCCGTGATGAACTGCAGCCCGCCGGTGGGCCACCCCGAGCCCAATGTCACCTGGAGAAAAAACGGGGTCCCCATCAACAACACCGACCCGCACTTCACTGTGAGACCTCCTTTATAACATAGCTACATGCCTTGTAGGGGTTTGTATGGTTTTTTAAACGGGAAATTGACAATGGGACAGTTGTCAGTCTGTGCATTTCAGTGCACTAAATGTATTTTCAAGACACTGGTTTTTCCATATCGTAATGAATTTGTTGAACTTCAAATAATTTTCAATGGTGGCAGGAGTTGAAATTCATACTGTTTTGAATACTTATTTCTCAAATCATGTCAGTGGTATCACGATATTACCAATAGAGGGCACTGTTGTACAACATTTTGATTAAAACCACAGGCTGCTTCATACATTTTCCTCCATTTTAATAAAAGAGGACCTTGGATGAAAAACAACCCCCCAAAAAATCATCACCATTTATGTTCTGCACTAAAACTTTTTTAACTCTATGTGGTTGCTCCCCATGTGACCTATAGGAACTGAATGGGAAGTTGATCATCGCCCCAGCCCATAAGAATGACTCTGGCGTGTACATCTGTGTGGCCTCTAACACTGTGGGAGTAAGAGAGAGCAGGGCCGCCCGCCTGTCTGTCCTAGGTAAGATGAACCCTGACCCCATGTACAGTACCATTTTAGCAATAACCTTTTTTACACTGCTGAGCCAAGCTGTACTTCGCTGGCCTGATTATGCATCCACCATAGTTGCTGGAACGATGCTGGAAATGAAAATGTGAAAAGAACAGAGTCCGCTCTGTACAGTTTGGGTCGGCACAACAGTGTGAAAAAGGTATGTCAATGTTTGCTATTGATAAAAGGGATGGCATGGAATTGAATGCTTAGAAATATGATATGAATAACCATTATTTGTGTATTTGCCCATGCTTTCTCCATCCCCAGCCAAGCCAGTGTTGGTGCTGAAGCCTCAGGATGTGTCGGTGTTGACGGGGGAGTCTGCCCAGTTCTACTGCGAGGCTAAAGGAGACCCCATGCCTGCTGTGGAGTGGAGCCGCGAGCAGGGCCCTCTGCCCAACGGCAGGTCTGATTCTTGATGCAACAAAAAAAAGCTTTATTGTCCATTAAATCTACACTAACAACTGTCCTTGACATGAGGTGCATATCTTGACATGAGGTATACAGTATATGTAACATTAAAAAACAATGACATAAGACATTGAACATGTATTACAACATGGGGTTTGTATGCATGACTGTAAGTAGCTTTGGATAAAAGCGTCTGCTAAATGGCTTATATTATTATATACAGGAGGTCCAAAAGTATTTGGACGGTGACAATATTTATATTTTTGGCTCTGTACTCCAGCACTTTGGATTTGCAATGATACAATGACTATGAGGTTAAAGTGCAGACTGTCAGCTTTAATTTGAGGGTGAACCGTTTAGAAATTACAGCACTTTTTGTACATAGTCCCCCTGTTTTAAGGAACCAAAAGTATTTTAACAAATTCACTTACATTATGTGTATTCAAGTAGTCAAAAGTATTGGGGTTATGATCTTTGTGCCTCTTTGAGCTACTCCTTAGCACAGTCAGTACATGTGTCATGAAATGCATTATTACTATACAATAATATTAATAATAATATGTAATTCTTTGATTTCTAATAATTTCATACAGTTGCTATAGTGAATGTTGTGTTGGTTGCTGTGTCATGTCTGTAGGTATCTAGTGAATCCTGACCAGAGCCTCCAGATCCACTACGTGACACCACAGGATTCTGGGAGGTACACCTGTACAGCTGTCAACGACATGGGGGTGGTCACTGCCAGCGCACAGCTCCTGGTGGAGGGTAAGAGCGCTTAGCTTGGGCCTTCACCACTACATCTATGTGTTGTGTATTTGTTGAATGTGTAATGTTCAGTGTTTATTTTGTATACAGCAGTACTGTGTGTCTAAAACAATTTCCCCCTGAGGGAAATTAAAGTTGATCCTGTCCTATCCTATTTACTTACAGCTAGAATAGTATGTATTTCTTTCTCCCAAGGGAACACCGCAAACTCTACTGGAATGCAAAACAAGGATCATATTATTCACGATACTTGCAGCAGGATGTATCACAAACAAAAACCTGACTTTTTATTTTTTATGATGTTCGTGAGATGGTGGCGGAAATTAGTGTGGTTCTAAAGTAAACTGTTTTTAGGATCACTATGGGACTTTATTTTGTTACATGGAGTTTAGTTTGTGTCAATTTCAGTGCCAGTAGGGAACTTCAATTTATGTACTTCAAAGTGTACAAAATTATTTTCTATGAAGATTTTTCTCCCTCCTTCACAGAAGCTGCAAGCACCAGACAGAGGGACCTTCACAGAGAGTTGTCGGCCCTGCGCATAGCTCTGGAGAATGTGACGGTGCTGACTCCAAACTCCAACATGTCCCAAGTGCAGTGGAAGGTACGGACATCAGACACGTCACATGGAGGCGCATATATTACTATGAAAACTGTTTGCACATAACAGATGACTGCATCAAGATGTTGAGAGATCCCCCAGCTAACACTTCAATAAGGAACTCCTAATGTAAGGAATTGACATTTTGCTGAACTAATTCAGGACTGCCATTTTTTATGTTTGTTTAGAACATTATTTTCATGTCACAAACCACATTTCCATCCACAGTTGTTATGCGAGTAAAGGCATACCGTATATAAAAAAAAGAATGACAGCTGTGATGGAAACAGGAAGCTTCGGTACAATTTTATAAATGCCGACAGATCATTTGTTAGTTCGACATGGTGGGATCTTTTTGTGTCTGTAAAATCAGTTATGCGAGAAATGGTGGTGGAAACGCCTTTATGCGCAAATATTTATATAATAACCGTCATATTGAAGTAAACTTGGAGTCACGTGATGATATGGTGTGTGGTCCTCCCACTCTGACTTGGGGAAACTATGCAGTTTATTAGGATACAGATTAAATAAATTATGATGAACTTCACTGGGTGGTGAAAGTGCACAGTGATCTCGATGCTCCTTTCCAATAAATATTGAGGGTCTTATTCTGGTGACATGATGATCGATGCTTGACTGCCGTTTGACGAATACAAATATTCTCGCTCTTATCCATAATAATCTCATCATGTAGGCTATCCTACCCGCACTGTATCTGCGAACTTTATTAGGAACATGAAAACTTAGACTAAAAAGTTAATTTTGTGTGCACTATGTCATCACACACTGATTTTTATCCGCAACAAGTCCATTTGGTGGAAACACAACACTGGTGGGAAAATGCGCATATTTCTTTATGCAGATTCTAGACTAGTCGCATGAGAATCTGTCACCAATTGGATGGAAACCTACCTACAGATAACATTCAAAGAATGCAAAACTACTGGTCATTTAACAAAGTTACCAGAATGTTCAGTAATTTTTGTAATTATCAGGTAATCAATGGCAATACTATCTATGAATACATTTTGTAAGATGTATTCATAGATAGTATTCATTTTTTATATCTGCGTCCATATTGTCCATGAGTTTCTAGTGGATATACCATATGGTTAAAGAGGGATTATAAACTGGGTAGGTCAAGCCCTGAGTGCTGATTGGCTGACAGCAGTGGCATATCAGACCGTATACCAAGGGTATGACAAAACATATATTTTTACTGCTCTATTGCATTGGTAACCAGTTTATAATAGCAATAAGGCACCTCGGGTGTTTGTGGTATATGGCCAATATACCACGGCTAAGGGCTGTATCCAGGCACTCCACGTTACGTTGTGCATAAGAACAGCCCTTGGCTGTGGTATATTGGCCATATACCACACCCCCTCGGGCCTTATTGCTTAAATAGCCAAATTAATGAAAAAAGCATCTAATCAACAATGGCATTATTTTCAATGAACTTTGCAACTCTTCCAACTATTGACTTTTTTCATAACTGCCACCAGTTTGGCGGCAAAAGATTTTCAACAAAAGACATATTGACATAGTAAAGGAAATAAAAGTGTAAAAAAATATATAAATAACATTTCATGTCGCAACCCTCATATTAAACACCAATGGTATTCACTAAGTTGATGGTTTATATTTAGGATAATGTTTTACAGCTTTGTCATTGTATTTGTTATTTTAAAATAATCTTATTTGATTATTTTATATATTCTACATGAAATAAGGCCACGCAGAAGGCTATAGATAATTAGACACTTCTGAAGTTCCCATTAGATAATCTGAAGTTCCCAAAATGGCCACTGTCATGTGATACAATTCCCCCCAAACCTGAAAGTTACCAAAGTTCTGGTAGTGTACTGATAAAATTTGAAAGTTACCAGTAATATACCCTCCCATTGCAACTCTAGTTTCTACACTCCAAAAGGGCATATCTTATTATTGCTTGATAACTGTGTCTTTCCTTTTTGTTCTGTTTATTTCAGCTTCAGTCCTTCCCAACCCAGCCTCAATACCTGGATGGTTTCGAGGTCCTCTATCGCTCTCTCTTGCCCGCCAGTTCGGACTGGGCTGCTAAGAGGGTGCCACTACCCAACTTTCAAACACTGGTCGGCCCGCTCAAGAGGGGCTACAAGTATGAGTTCAAAGTGCGTCCCTACGGCAGCAGCTTGTACGGCCGCGAGAGCAACACCAGGCACCTGCGTGTACCTGAGACAGGTAAGGAAGGGTTCAAAACAGTTAGTTGGCTGTTATCAACTGTAAACCAAAAAGTATGTGAATACAGTGGCTTGCGAAAGTATTCACCCCCCTTGGCACTTTTCCTATTTTGTTGCCATACAACCTGGAATTAAAATTAATTTTTTTGGGGGGTAGGGTTGTATCATTTGATTTACACAACATGCCTACCACTTTGAAGATGCAAAATAATTTTTTTGTGAAACAAACAAGAAATAAGACCAAAAAACAGAACTTGAGCGTGCATAACTATTCAACCCCCGAAAATCAATACTTTGTAGAGCCACCTTTTGCAGCAATTACAGCTGCCAGTATGAAAATGTATGCACTCACTAACTGTAAGTCGCTCTGGATCTGAGCGTCTGCTAAATGACTAAAATGTAAATGTAAATGTAAAAGTCTCTTGGGGTATGTCTCTATAAGCTTGGCACATCTAGCCACTGGGATTTTTGTCCATTCCTCATGGCAAAACTGCTCCAGCTCCTTCAAGTTGGATGGGTTCCGCTGGTGTACAGCAATCTTTAAGTCATACAACAGATTCTCAATTGGATTGAGGTCTGGGCTTTGACTAGGCCATTCCAAGACATGTAAATGCTTCCCCTTAAACCACTCGAGTGTTGCTTTAGCAGTATGCTTAGGGTCATTGTCCTGCTGGAAGGTGAACCTCCGTCCCAGTCTCAAATCTCTGGAAGACTGAAACAGGTTTCCCTCAAGAATTTCCCTGTATTTAGCGCCATCCATCATTCCTTCAATTCTGACCAGTTTCCCAGTCGCTGCCAATGAAAAACATCTCCACTGCATGATGCTGCCACCACCATGCTTCACTGTGGGTATGGTGTTCTCGGGGTGATGAGAGAAGTTGGGTTTGCGCCGGACATTGTGTTTTCCTTGATGGCCAAAAAGCTCAATTTTAGTCTCATCTGACCAGATTACCTTCTTCCATGTGTTTGGGGAGTCTCTAATATGCCTTTTGGTGAACACCAAACGTGTTTGCTTATTTTTTTCTTTAAGCAATGGCTTTTTTCTGGCCACTCTTCCATAAAGCCCAGCTCTGTGGAGTGTATGGCTTAAAGTGGTCCTATGGATAGATACTCCAATCTCCACTGTGGAGCTTTGCAGCTCCTTCAGGGTTATCTTTGGTGTCTTTGTTGCCTCTCTGATTAATTCCCTCCTTGCCTGGTCCGAGAGTTTTGGTGGGCGGCCCTCTCTTGGCAGGTTTGTGTCATATTCTTTCCATGTTTTAATAATGGATTTAATGGTGCTCCGTGGGATGTTCAAAGTTTCAGATATTTTTTTATAACCCAACCCTGATCTGTACTTCTCCACAACTTTGTCCCTGACCTGTTTGGAGAGCTCCTTGGTCTTCATGGTGCCGCTTGCTTGGTGGTGCCCCTTGCTTAATGGTGTTGCAGACTCTGGGGCCCTTCAGAACAGGTGTATATATACTGAGATCATGTGACAGATCATGTGACACTTAGATTGCACACAGATGGACTTTATTTAACTAATTGTGTGACTTCTGAAGGTAATTGGTTGCACCAGATCTTATTTAGGGGCTTCATAGCAAAGGGGGTGAATAAATATATGCACGCACCACTTTTCCGTTATTTATTTTTTAGAATATCTTGAAATAAGTTATTTTTTTCATCACACTTCACCAATTTGGACTATTTTGTGTATGTCCATTACATGAAATCCAAATAAAAATCAATTTAAATTACAGGTTGTATTGCAACAAAATAGAAAAAACGGCAAGGGGGATGAATACTTTTGCAAGGCACTGTATACTGTAGGTGTGTCTTTGGAGACTGTAGCTCAGGAGTAGTCCAACTTTATTGAATAAATAAAATCAATATGAAGATTAAAAAACAATGATTTGAATCAAGATGGGTCATGTTTTTACACATGTATTGTTACACTCCATCTTCCCGCAGTGCCTAACGCCCCACCTCAGGTTGTCTCCATAACGATGGCCCCTGACCACAATGACACGGTCCATGTGACCTGGGAGCCTCCACCCCACGAAGCTCACAACGGCATCATCCAGGGATACCAGGTAAGAACAAGATGGCTACCTACACCTTTACCTTGTATCTATGCCTGAAAAATCTAGCACCAAGCATTCTTGTATGCTCCACAATGTGTTTTATGACACGTTTGAGAGCATGCAAGAAATTCTAGGGTGAGTTTTTTTCTCTATATGCCTGACATTATGTAAAGTTTTGAAACAACCCTCTTTTTCAATGACCTTGTACTATTTTTAACATAATAAATTCACATTCACAATTTAATTAGACATTGTGTTGATAGGGGGTCCTCTGCAACCCTGGTGTGCAAGCTTTTGTTCAACTGCAAAATAACTGATTCAACTAAGCAGTCCTGATAGAAGAAGACCATGATAATATGAATCAAAGGTGTGCTGGGCTGGAACAAAAGCCTGCTGTCCCTGACCAGAGTTTCATAGTACCTCTGCTGTGGAATCAAGTGCACCTGCACGCGCGCACACACACACGCACACACACAGTTCTCTGTAATGCATCCCTGGTTCCCTCTTTGAGCTCTGTGTGTGCGTTTGTCCTGTCTAGTTGTGGTGTGTGCAGTCGGAGGAGCAGCAGTACCTGAACTGGACAGTGGACAGTGGGACCCACAGTCTGGAAATAAACCCTCTGTACCCGGGAAAAGAGTACTGGGTCCAGGTGGCAGCGGTCAACGGAGCTGGCGTCGGGGTGCAGAGTGACCCCCATAGACTGGTCATAGGTCAGTGACAACACGCCACAGATATCTGTATGGTCAACCAAAGACCACAGGGTTACGAAACCTTACATAAAACAAGACTGCAATAGTAGATTCGTGCAATTTGCAGTCCAGTTTATTGAAAGCGTCAATGTGGGTTGGAAGGTTTGAAGATTAATTAAACAGATGTGTGTAACATTGTATGTGTTAGTGTCAGTGGTGGAAAAACAACCCAATTTTCATACTTGAGTAAAAGTAACGATGCATTTATAGAAAATGACTCAAGTAAAAGTGAAAGTCAGCCAGCAAATACTACTTGAGTAAAAGTCTAAAAGTATTTGGTTTTAAATATACTTCAGTATCAAAAGTAAATGTAATTGCTAAAATATACTTAAGTATCAAAAGTGAAGGTACCTGGAATAGTATAACAGTAATCCTTCTACCCCTCACCCCCCCATGCCTTTTGGCGAAAATCAAACGTGTTTGCTTATTTTTTTCTTTAAGCAATGGCTTTTTTCTGGCCACTCTTCCATAAAGCCCAGCTCTGTGGAGTGTACGGCTTAAAGTGGTCCTATGGACAGATACTTTGCAGCTCCATCAGGGTTATCTTTGGTGTCTTTGTTGCCTCTCTGATTAATGCCCTCCTTGCCTGGTCCGTGAGTTTTGGTGGGAGGCCCTCTCTTGGCAGGTTTGTTGTGGTGCCATATTCTTTCCATTTTTAAATAATGGATTTAATGGTGCTCCGTGGGATGTTCAAAGTTTCTGATATTTTTTTATAACCCAAGCCTGATCTGTACTTCTCCACAACTTTGTCCCTGACCTGGTGGAGAGCTCCTTTGTCTTCATGTTGCCGCTTGCTTGGTGGTGCCCCTTGCTTAGTGGTGTTGCAGAATCTGGGGCCTTTCAGAACAGGTGTATATATACTGAGATCATTACATTTACATTTTACATTTTAGTCATTTAGCAGACGCTCTTATCCAGAGCGACTTACAGTTAGTGAATACATATATATAAATAAATAAAAATTATACTGGCCCCCCGTGGGAATCGAACCCACAACCCTGGCGTTGCAAACGCCATGCTCTATCAACTGAGCTACATCCCTGCCGGCCATTCCCTCCCCTACCCTGGACGACGCTGGGCCAATTGTGCGCCGCCCATGAGTCTCCCGGTCGCGGCCGGCTGCGACAGAGCCTGGATCATGTGACAGATCATGTGACACTTACAGTGGGGGAAAAAAGTATTTAGTCAGCCACCAATTGTGCAAGTTCTCCCACTTAAAAAGATGAGAGAGGCCTGTAATTTTCATCATAGGTACACGTCAACTATGACAGACAAATTGAGGAAATAAAATCCAGAAAATCACATTGTAGGATTTTTAATGAATTTATTTGCAAATTATGGTGGAAAATAAGTATTTGGTCACCTACAAACAAGCAAGATTTCTGGCTCTCACAGACCTGTAACTTCTTCTTTAAGAGGCTCCTCTGTCCTCCACTCGTTACCTGTATTAATGGCACCTGGTTGAACTTGTTATCAGTATAAAAGACACCTGTCCACAACCTCAAACAGTCACACTCCAAACTCCACTATGGCCAAGACAAAAGAGCTGTCAAAGGACACCAGAAACAAAATTGTAGACCTGCACCAGGCTGGGAAGACTGAATCTGCAATAGGTAAGCAGCTTGGTTTGAAGAAATCAACTGTGGGAGCAATTATTAGGAAATGGAAGACATACAAGACCACTGATAATCTCCCTCGATCTGGGGCTCCACGCAAGATCTCACCCCGTGGGGTCAAAATGATCACAAGAATGGTGAGCAAAAATCCCAGAACCACACAGGGGGACCTAGTGAATGACCTGCAGAGAGCTGGGACTAAAGTAACAAAGCCTACCATCAGTAACACACTACGCCACCAGGGACTCAAATCCTGCAGTGCCAGACGTGTCCCCCTGCTTAAGCCAGTACATGTCCAGGCCCGTCTGAAGTTTGCTAGAGTGCATTTGGATGATCCAGAAGAGGATTGGGAGAATGTCACATGGTCAGATGAAACCAAAATAGAACTTTTTGGTAAAAACTCCACTCGTCGTGTTTGGAGGCCAAAGAATGCTGAGTGGCATCCAAAGAACACCATACCTACTGTGAAGCATGGGGGTGGAAACATCATGCTTTGGGGCTGTTTCTCTGCAAAGGGACCAGGACGACTGATCCGTGTAAAGGAAAGAATGAATGGGGCCATGTATCGTGAGATTTTGAGTGAAAACCTCCTTCCATCAGCAAGGGCATTGAAGATGAAACGTGGCTGGGTCTTTCAGCATGACAATGATCCCAAACACACCGCCCGGGCAACGAAGGAGTGGCTTCGTAAGAAGCATTTCAAGGTCCTGGAGTGGCCTAGCCAGTCTCCAGATCTCAACCCCATAGAAAATCTTTGGAGGGAGTTGAAAGTCCGTGTTGCCCAGCGACAGCCCCAAAACATCACTGCTCTAGAGGAGATCTGCATGGAGGAATGGGCCAAAATACCAGCAACAGTATGTGAAAACCTTGTGAAGACTTACAGAAAACGTTTGACCTGTGTCATTGCCAACAAAGGGTATATGACAAAGTATTGAGAAACTTTTGTTATTGACCAAATACTTATTTTCCACCATAATTTGCAAATAAATTCATTAAAAATCCTACAATGTGATTTTCTGGATTTATTTTTCTCATTTTGTCTGTCATTTTTGACGTGTACCTATGATGAAAATTACAGGCCTCTCGCATCTTTTTAATCGGGAGAACTTGCACAATTGGTGGCTGACTAAATACTTTTTTTCCCCACTGTAGATTGCACACAGGTGGACTTTATTTAACTAACTATGTGACTTCTGAAGGTAATTGGTTGCACCAGATCTTATTTAGGGGCTTCATAGCAAAGGGGGTGAATACATATGCACGCACCACTTTTCCGTTATTTATTTTTTAGAATATTTTGAAATAAGTAATTTTTGTAATTTCACTTAACCAATTTGGACTATTTTGTGTATGTTCATTACATGAAATCCAAATAAAAATCCATTTAAATTAGAAATTACAGGTTGTAATGCAACAAAATAGGAAAAATGCCAAGTGGAATGAATACTTTTGCAAGGCACTGTATATATATATATATATATATACAGTGAGGGAAAAAAGTTTTTGATCCCCTGCTGATTTTGTACGTTTGCCCAATGACAAAGACTTGATCAGTCTGCTGTGGGGGTGCTTTGCTGCAGGTGCACTTCACAAAATAGATGGCATCATGAGGAAATAAAATTATGTGGATATATTGAAGCAACATCTCAAGACATCAGTCAGGAAGTTAAAGCTTGGTCGCAAATGGGTCTTCCAAATTGACAATGACCCCAAGCATACTTCCAAAGTTGTGGAAAAATGGCTTAAGGACAACAAAGTCATGGTATTGGAGTGGCCATCACAAAGCCCTGACCTCAATCCTATAGAAAATGTGTGGGCAGAACTGAAAAAGTGTGTGCGAGCAAGGAGGCCTACAAACCTGACTCAGTTACACCAGCTCTGTCAGGAGGAATGGGACAAAATTCACCCAACTTATTGTGGAAGGCTACCCGAAACATTTGACTCATGTTAAACAATTTAAAGGCAATGCTACCAAATACTTCTGACCCACTGGGAATGTGATGAAATAAATAAAAGCTGAAATAAATCATTCTCTGTACAATTATTCTGACATTTCACATTATTAAATAAAGTGGTGATCCTAAATGACCTAAGAAAGGGCATTTTTACTAGGATTAAATGTCAGGAATTGTGAAAAACTGAGTTTAAATATATTTGGCTAAGGTGTATGTAAACCTCCGACTTCAACTGTATATATATATATATATATATATGTACATACGCTACCAGTCAATAGTTGACCTACTCATTCAAGGGTTTTCCTTTATTTTTACTATTTTCTACTTTGTAAAATAATAGTGAAACCATAACAACTATGAAATAACACATATGGAATCATGTAGTAACCAAAAAAGTGTTTTATATTTTATATTTGAGATTCTTCAAAGTAGCCACCCTTTGCCTTGATGACAGCTTTGCACACTCTTGGCGTTCTCTCAACCAGCTTCATGAGGTAGTCACCTGGACTGCATTTAAATTAACAGGTGTGCCTTCTTAAAAGTTAATTTCTGGACTTTCCTTCTTAATGCATTTGAGCCAATCAGTTGTGCTGTGACAAGATAGGGGGGGATACAGAAGATAGCCCTATTTGGTAAAAGACCAAGTCCATATTATGGCAAGAACAGCTCAAATAAGTAAAGAGAAACGGCAGTCCATCATTACTTTAAAACATGACGGTCAGTCAATCCGGAAAATGTCAAGAATTTTGAACGTTTCTTCAAGTGTAGTCGCAAAAACCATCAAGCGCTAAGATGAAACTGGCTCTCATGAGGACCGCCACAGGAAAGTAAGACCCAGAGTTACCTCTGCTGGAGAGGATAAGTTCATTAGAGTTACCAGCCTCAGAGTTCAAGTAACAGACACATCTCAACATCAACTGTTCAGAGGAGACTGTGTGAATCAGGCCTTCATGGTCGAATTGCTGCAAAGAAACCACTACTAAAGGACACCAATAAGAAGAAGAGACTTATTTAGAATTCAAGGCACACTTAACCAGCATGGCTACCACAGCATTCTGCAGCGATATGCCATCCCATCTGGTTTGGGCTTAGTGGGACTATCATTTGTTTTTCAACAGGACAATGACCCAACACACCTCCAGGCTGTGTAAGGGCTATTTTACCAAGAAGGAGAGTGATGGAGTGCTGCATCAGATGACCTGGTCTCCACAATCCACGACCTCAACCAAATTGAGATGGTTTGGAATGAGTCGGACCGCAGAGTGAAGGAAAAGCAGCCAACAAGTGCTCAGCATATGTGGGAACTCCTTCAAGACAGTTGGGAAAGCATTCCAGGTGAAGCTGGTTGAGAGAATGCCAAGAGTGTGCAAAGCTGTCATCAAGGCAAAGGGTGGCTATTTGAAGAACACTTTTTTGGTTATTACATGATTCCATATGTGTTATTTCATATATTTGATGTCTTCACTATTATTCTACAATGTAGAAAATAGTAAAAATAAAGAAAAACCCTTTAATGAGTAGGTGTTTCCAAACTATTGACTTGTAGTGTATATACCCACATTGTCAATCGTGTGTGATAGTGTTTCCATCTATCATGATCTCTGTCTCTGCATTATTTTATTTCTGTCTGTCTGTCTCTTTTCTTCTCTCTCGGAGGAGAGAGAGGAGAGAGAAGGAGAAGAGGGAAAGAGAGAGAGAGAGCGGAGGAGAGAGAGAGCGAGAGAGCGCGAGAGAGAGCGCGAGATAGAGAGAGATCGAGAGACAACAAAAGATCTCCCAAAAACTCTACACCCCACCCCCCCCCCCCACCCCCCCCCACCCCCTCCCACCCCCCCCCCCCCCCCCCCACCCCCTCTCTCTCGCTTCTCTCCTCTCTCTCGCTCTCTCTCTCCTCTCTCTCCTCTCTCTCGCTCTCTCACTGTGAGTGTGTTTTAATTTCTTTATGTCTTTTTTTTTTTTTCCTACCCTCCCTCTTCCAGACTCCCCGAGGTTCGGGGCCCCCCAGTCAGACGGCCCCATTAGGGACCTGTCTCAGGTCCTGTCTGTGCTGAGGGACCCAGTGTTCATCGGAAGCGTTGGCGCCCTCCTGTGGTGCGTCCTAATGGTGATGGCCGTCTGCCTGTACCGCCGTCACACCCGACCCGGCGACCACCTGGGACGAGGCCAAGGCAAGGCTAAAGGTCTGTCTGGGCTGGAAGTGGGGGCTAGCTTATTTGTTGTATCTTTAGCATAGCATAAGCTTAGCATAGGTTATCTTAGCATGGATATGTCATGCTATGCTGATCAACTGTGTTGTTATGGGTACGTAATTAGCGTTAGCTGCTAATCAGGTTTTAATGTGTGAGTATTATTTGGCTAAAACAAGAGAGGTTGTGGCTATTTGATGTGTAACTAGAGGTTTTACCCCGCACAAGGTTGTATAGTAGCAGGCATACTTTTACTTACATAGGTTGGTTTTTACTTTTGACTTTGTCTCATCATTCAAGGTAAAATGCTATATGAGAATTTATATCAAGGATACTTTAGCATCTATATCATTGTAGTGTTAAATGACAGGATTACCATTAACATCTCCAATGTTCCTGTATAAGCTGTGATACCTCATTGTGAAATCAACCAGACTAAGTGACTGTTACTCTGGGTTTTGCAGGTTTGTACAGGTTGGCCAGTGAAGACCTCATCATCAAACACAGGTAGGTGGAAGACAAAGAGTGTGGCTCATTGAAAAGGATTTCACTACTGTCACGCCCTGGCTCTGGGACTCTGTTATGTTGAGCCAGGGTGTGTTGTTTCTTTGTGTTTTGTGTGCTAGGGTGATATTCTAGTGCTTGTGTTTCTATGTTGGCCGGGGTGGTTCTCAATCAGAGGCAACCTGAATCAGCTGTTGCTTATTGTCTCTGATTGGGAACCATACTTAGGCAGCCGTTTGAGCATTGTCATGTGTGGGATCTTGTTCCGTATGGTTTGTGTTGTAACCAAGGACTTCACGTTTCGTATCGTTTGTTGTTTTGTTCGTGTGGTGTTCTCTAAATAATAAAGTATGTTCACATTCCACGCTGCGCATTGGTCCACTTCTCAAGACGATCGTGACAGAAGATCCCACCATAACTGGACCAAGCAGCGTGTCCAGGAGCCAACGCCAGAGGTGACTCTGAAGGATATCAACCTCGACAGGGTCAAGCCGCGGGAGGAGGAGAGAGGCTGGACTTTGGAGCAGTGGAGCAAGAGTCTGGCGAGAGCCATGGAGGCCTGGCCCATGGGGAGGAGAGACGCCCAGAATTTTTTTAGGGGGGGGCTCACGCCGTGGACGACGGGGCAGCAGGAGGCCGGGATAGAGTGGTTCAGCGGGTTGGCAAAGGAGGCCGCCAGGTTACGGGAGTCACTGGTCACCAGGGGGAAGGAGAATGTAGAGGCACGGCGAGAGGTACTGGGGTGTGTTGCCAGTCCGGTCCGGCCCGTTCCTGATCCCCGCGTAGGGCCATGGTGTGTGTTCCCAGTATGGTCCGGCTTGTTCCTGTCCCTCGCACCGAGCCTGTGGTGCGCGTCGTCAGCCCGGTCCGGCCTGTTCCTGCTCCCCGCACCAAGCCAGTGGTGCGCTTCGTCAGCCCGGTTCGGCCCGTCCCTGCTCCCCGCACCAAGCCTGTGGTGCGCGTCGTCAGCCCGGTCCGGCCTGTTCCTGCTCCCCGCACCAAGCCAGTGGTGCGCTTCGTCAGCCCGGTTCGGCCCGTCCCTGCTCCCCGCACCAAGCCTGTGGTGCGCGTCGTCAGCCCGGTCCGGCCTGTTCCTGCTCCCCGCACCAAGCCAGTGGTGCGCTTCGTCAGCCCAGTTCGGCCCGTCCCTGCTCCCCGCACCAAGCCTGTGGTGCGCGTCGTCAGCCCGGTCCGGCCTGTTCCTGCTCCCCGCACCAAGCCTGTGGTGCGCTTCGTCAGCCCGGTTCGGCCCGTCCCTGCTCTCCGCACCAAGCCAATGGTGCGCGTCGTCAGCCTGGTCCGGCCCGTCCCTGCTCCCCGCACCAAGCCTGTGGTGCGCGTCGTCAGCCCGGTCCGGCCTGTTCCTGCTCCCCGCACCAAGCCTGTGGTGCGCTTCGTCAGCCCGGTTCGGCCCGTCCCTGCTCTCCGCACCAAGCCAATGGTGCGCGTCGTCAGCCTGGTCCGGCCCGTCCCTGCTCCCCGCACCAAGCCTGTGGTGCGCGTCATCAGTCCGGCACAGCCCGTGCCTGTTCCACCGGTGCCTGGTCCGGCACCGGTCAGCTGCTCCACTCCGGAGCTAGAGCAATCCGCTCCACCAGTGTTCAGTCCAGCTCCGGCCAGCAGGGCCAGACCGGACCAGGGGCGCTTTGAGGGGTTTGTGGGAGGGTGGGGGTCAAGCCCAGAGCCGGAACCGCCTCCGGGGAGGAATGCCCACCCGGCCCTACCCTGTTCGGTTTATGTTTGGCGCGGTCGCAGTCCACGCCTTTGGGGGGGGGGTACTGTCACGCCCTGGCTCTGGGACTCTGTTATGTTGAGCCAGGGTGTGTTGTTTCTTTGTGTTTTGTGTGCTAGGGTGATATTCTAGTGCTTGTGTTTCTATGTTGGCCGGGGTGGTTCTCAATCAGAGGCAACGTGAATCAGCTGTTGCTTGTTGTCTCTGATTGGGAACCATACTTAGGCAGCCGTTTGGGCATTGTCATGTGTGGGATCTTGTTCCGTATGGTTTGTGTTGTAACCAAGGACTTCACGTTTCGTATCGTTTGTTGTTTTGTTCGTGTGGTGTTCTCTAAATAATAAAGTATGTTCACATTCCACGCTGCGCATTGGTCCACTTCTCAAGACGATCGTGACAACTACTTTTTGTTTTGTAATAAATAAATGTATAATATGATCGGATCCACTGTATGTGCCTCCTAGTTTTGCCATTTTAACCATACCCAATACATGGGATTGACCTACTGACTGACTGACTGACTGATTGACCTGTGTCTCTGCAGAATGGCGGCCCCAGACTCACCGTGGATCTCGGGTGCGTGGAGACCGGCCCAGAGTGGCGAGACGTACCAGGGCACATGGGCTCAGAGCCAGGAGAACCTAGGCTTCAGGAAGACCAGTGAGTTCTGCTTTACAGCTTGTCTAGAATCAGTTAATCCTACCACAGTTCTTAATATAAGCGTTAATAGTTGGATATAAAAGACTGGCCCTGGACCAGTTGATAATGCAACTCAGTACTCAGTTAGTTTGCCCTGTGTGCTAAAAGTGTAAGCTTTTAACATAGATTTTTAGGTCTGAGGCTATTCATCTGCTACCTCTGCTATTCATTATGGAAGCTCAGTTAACCACCTCTGCTATGTAAACAATACACTTGATCCAGAATTTCTCCAATCTTAGATCGATAATTTGTTTGACAACTCAAAAATACAATTCCAGCCACACAAGTGTATGCACAGCATTTAAAATCCACACAAGTGGAAGCAAGCTTTTTAAAATCCACACAAGTAGAAGCAAGCTTTTTAAAATCCACACAAGTTGAAGCAAGCTTTTTAAAATCCACACAAGTGGAAGCACAGCATTTAAGATAATTGAGGATAACAGATAGTGGTCCTCTTCTTATTCCAGCGTTGCCAATCACAGCCAAGAAGGACCCCGGCTCCCTGGACTCGGCTGTCCCTATCGTGCCCGACAGCTGCGGTATCTACGGGACGTTCTACGTGGACCTTACGGGCAACGGCCTCAAGACATTCAACAGCCCCACCCGATGCCCCAAGAGGCCCCACTGCCACACCTCCTCCTCCTCACACTCCTCCCAGTACAGCGCAGAGACGGTGCGCATCTCCCATCCTGCCACCACTGTCAAGACCACGCTGGTCACGGATGGCCAGGCCCTGCCCCCAGCCCAGCCCAAGATGGGCGTGCTCAAGGAATCATGGGAGAAGAATTACAAACGAGGTGATAGTCAATGTGGCCTTCTTACATGGTTTTGATGTCTTTGCTATTGGTGAACATCGATCTGTAGTTACTGTTCAGTCACAGACTTTGTCCCCTCCCCCAGAGCTCCATGCGGTGAACAGCGCCCCCTTGGTGTCGTCGAGGAGCCAGGCGCTGGCTGTGAGGGGAGTGCCTTATAAACAGAGGCTCAGCCACCTCCCACCAGGTATTGTACTGTCATCTTACACCACTCATACCCTAAAGGCTTTTAATTCTCATGGACAATTAGAACAAGTGTTTTCACTGTCCCCCAGGGTATGTACGATTTTGTTCTATTCCAGCACTAGCACACCTGATTAAACTAATCAAGGGCTTGGAAATTAGCTGCTTTTCTTAAATCAGGTGTGTTAGTGCGGGGCTAGAACAAGTATGTGCAACGCTGATTGTTCCCTCAGGTATGGATGGTACAGAACCACTGCCCTTGACAGTTATTGTTGTTGTTGTTGTTGTGTTGACCTTGGTGCCTGTGTGTATTCTTCCTCCAGGTGGGCGCTCAGAGTGCATCAAACCCCTGGCGTCACCCGGCATCCTGCACTACTCAGCCTCACTGCACCTGGTGGACATGCTGCCCACCCCGCCCCCGCTGCCCATGGACGACACCACAGACACACACAGCCTCACCTCAGAGGAAGGGTACGGAACACACACACACATGCATGTACACACAAACATAACCACAGACACACACACCCACACAGACACCCACAGACATACACATAGACATTGGCAAGACTCCCCAATCCCACTCCCGCTCTCTCCGTGCCACTGTTCAAGACGTCCTGACCCATTCTCAAGACCAAGGATACTTATGATGACTAACACTTACCACACATGACACATGAGAGAATACTCATCAAACTGAGCTCAATAAATTTACCATCTGTTACATCTTTCATTGGCTGTAGCATTATATTAATAACTCCCCTGTAGTGTGTTGATGATTGGTGCTCTCAGAGACATACTTCTGAACAATAACCAAGGATCAAAGGGTTCTTCATCATTTCTCCTTATGGACCTTGTATTTAGCCCCTTGAATCAATAAGACCAGTCATCTACAGTACATCTGAGCACATGAGCATCTATGAGCCATGTGTTTCTCACACTCTGCCACAGGGCTCCCTTGTTTACTTCCTGTTGACCTCTTCCTGACACCAATCTATCACAGCTTCTCCCATTCCCCACTCTCTAATGAGCCACTGCGCTCTGCTTCCCTCCATTTCCTCTGCCATTATAGTAAAACCGTATGGCCTGAAGTGGTTTCCTGTCTCCCGCTGGGGGAAATGATTGTACTTCCTCCTTTCTCTTAGCCCCGATGACAGGGCCTTGACAAGGCTCTTAGAACGGCAACCAAGACGCACCAATCAAATGCCAATTTACATGACCATGAATGACATGTAACCACAGTGTTAACAAAGAAAACTGCTCAATTCAAGTTATAGTACGACTATATTCTCTTGCAAGGAATAGCACTATTATCACGAAATAAATGGGAATTTCTTGTAACTACAGTACATTTAGGCAACTAAGCACCAAGTGTGACTACCTGTGTGATTTTCTCCTACACTAGAGTCTCATTTTTGGCTTATACCTAATATAAATAATATACTAATATTTTGGCTTAAAGGCCCACTCTGTGATTTAGCCATTTTGTCATTAATGTATGATACACACGTTGATTCTTGAAGAATATAACTTATAAATGTCTCATGAATTTAGTCTGAAGTATTGGAAATTACCGTCTGACCCTTTCTTCACACCTAGGTCCTGCAGGTCCATTAAGCTGACAGTGGATGCCGGGTCTCTCCAGTCTGTGTGTGCTGCGTCCGGTCTCCGCGGCCCCCCATCCAACACCAACACCATGGGCTGCCCCTCCTACAGCCGCCTGTCCACTGCCTCCTACTGCCTGTCATTGGACGAGGAGCAGGACGTGACGATGACCTCACAGGAAGTCACCCAGCACCTGGAGCTCAGCCCCAAAGCCGAGAGGCGCAGGTAGGTTTGCCGTGGAAACCTAGGGGTGGCAACCATCGGAGAGTGAGAGGGTTACTGTCAGAGTCATTGATTGAGGGGCTATGCTTTGACGCTATCTATTCTACTACATCAATTGATAAGGGCTTTTAAAGACAACCAAAATTATTGTCAGTAATATTCAATATAAACTCAGCAAAAAAAGAAACGTCCTCTCACTGTCAACTGCGTTTATTTTCAGCAAACTTAACATCTGTAAATATTTGTATTAACATAACAAGATTCAACAACTGAGACATAAACTGAACAAGTTCCACAGACATGTGACTAACAGAAATGGAATAATGTGTCCCTGAACAAAGGGGGGGTCAAAATCAAAAGTAACAGTCAGTATCTGGTGTGGCCACCAGCTGCATTAAGTACTGCAGTGCATCTCCTCCTCATGGACATCACCAGATTTGCCAGTTCTTGCTGTGAGATTCCCGGACATTTCTGGGGGGAATGGCCCTAGCCCTCACCCTCCGATCCAACAGGTCCGAGACATGCTCAATGGGATTGAGATCCAGGCTCTTCGCTGGCCATGGCAGAACACTGACATTCCTGTCTTGCAGGAAATCACACACAGAGCGAGCAGTATGGCTGGTGGCATTGTCATGCTGGAGGGTCATGTCAGGATGAGCCTGCAGGAAGGGTACCACATGAGGGAGGAGGATGTCTTCCCTGTAATGCACAGCATTGAGATTGCCTGCAATGACAATAAACTCAGTCCGATGATGCTGTGACACACCGCCCCAGACCATGACGGACCCTCCACCTCCAAATCGATCCCGCTCCAGAGTAAAGGCCTCGGTGTAACGCTCATTCCTTCGACGATAAATGCGAATCCGACCATCACCCATGGTGAGAGAAAACCGCGACTCGTCAGTGAAGAGCATGTTTTGCCAGTCCTGTCTGGTCCAGCGACGGTGGGTTTGTGCCCATAGGCAACGTTGTTGCCGGTGATGTCTGGTGAGGACCTGCCTTACAACAGGCCTACAAGCCCTCAGTCCAGCCTCTCTCAGCCTATTGCAGACAGTCTGAGCACTGATGGAGGGATTGTGCATTCCTGGTGTAACTCGGGCAGATGTTGTTGCCATCCTGTACCTGTCCCGCAGGTGTGATGTTCGGATGTACCGATCCTGTGCAGGTGTTGTTACACGTGGTCTGCCACTGCGAGGACGATCAGCTGTCCGTCCTGTCTCCCTGTAGCGCTGTCTTAGGCGTCTCACAGTACGGACATTGCAATTTATTGCCCTGGCCACATCTGCAGTCCTCATGCCTCCTTGCAGCATACCTAAGGCACGTTCACGCAGATGAGCAGGGACCCTGGGCATCTTTCTTTTGGTGTTTTTCAGAGTCAGTAGAAAGGCCTCTTTAGTGCCTTAATTGCCTACCGTCTGTAAGCTGTTAGTGTCTTAACGACCTTTCCACAGGTGCATGTTCATTAATTGTTTATGGTTCATTGAACAAGCATGGGAAACAGTGTTTAAACCCTTTACAATGAAGATCTGTGAAGTTATTTGGAATTTTACCAATTATCTTTGAAAGACAGGGTCCTGAAAAAGGGACGTTTCTTTTTTTGCTGAGTTTATATATAGTCTCTTTATTAGTAAAATAGTGTTCGATATTACAATAATGTTTGTGTTGTTTTAGTACAGAATTGCTTTACAGGGTATCAGTAGTTTTTATTTCATTCACCTCTTACCTTACCTCACTTCCTGTTTCCAGCACAATACTGGAGAATCCTCCTTCCTCCTCCCTGTCCCGCCCCTTCTCCCCCACTCCCACCTTGGGCTACATCTGTGGGCCCCTCCCCTCCAACCAACTGGAGGACGGGATGACTGATGACCATGAGTCCCAGCCAATGGGCTCCCGACGGTCCCGGCTCCAGAGCACACCCTTGTCGCTCTGCAGCGAATGGGAGGGCTCGCTGTGGAATGGCTGGGGATCTGTGTCAGAGGGCAACATGGCTAGCAGCACCCGCACCAGCCTCATCAGCTCGTCGGACGGCTCATTTATGAACGATGCCAATTTTGCCCGCGTGCTGGCCACCATGGCCGCAGAGTCCATGAGTGGAGCCTCTTTCTCAGGCAAGACTACTGGAGAAAAGTTATTCACACATTAATTATAGGTCATTCTTTAGCCAATCATACTTTAACAGCTTACTTGCGATTGAGATGTGTCTTGTCACCAACTACCACTAGGTGGTGGACTCTTACCATACAATCCTAAAATGGTGCCTTGGAGTCTGATTTACAACAGATTCCTCTTTTACCTCTAGCCTCTATGTGGTCATCAAATACTTGTGTAAGAAGATTTTTTGGTGGACATCTCAGGCTACATCAGGGTTATGTTTATTAATGAATTGAACATTGTCTATAGTATTTAACAACGACTTTACAACTCATAAATGGAATTGTAGTTTATTCCCTCGAGTAGCTGGTAGTGAAATGGAATTGACCACACGATCGGGTGTCACCAGTTTTCCTTTGTGTAGCTTATCGGCATGCTCTGTATCCACTGGGGATGTAGCCTAGACTAGAGTTAAGCAGTGGTCTTGTATTCAGGGAGGACTACATGTGGGAAATGTCAGTGGTTGTGTGGCCACTGAGACTGACCTATGGGACAGATAGATGTGATTGAGGTGAGAGTGTATCTCACAGACACACACAGTGGAGAGTGTGTGTGTGTGTGTGTGTTGTGTGTGTGTGTTGTGTGCAATTACTCAAGTGTGTGTGTGTCTGTGCGTGTGTGTGTGTGTTAGGTATTTGGTGCACTCAGGATTCAGGGGTGGCAACGGGCGATTACTTAGGACCTCTCAGCAAATTGAAGGTGCTAGCGAGCAATCGTTCTCAGACTGTCATTTAATCAATCACTCTGTCCTTTCTCCAAATCTGCAGACGGCCGATTCAACTTTATTCCATTTGCCCAATTGTTATTTTTATTACAGGAGTGTTGCCACGGTGAAACAGAGTCCTGATTGTGCATTTTACAAATAGGATTGCTTAAGTGTGTGTGTGTGTGTGTGTGTGTGTGTGTGTGTGTGTGTGTGTGTGTGTGTGTGTGTGTGTGTGTGTGTGTGTGTGTGTGTGTGTGTGTGTGTGTGTGTGTGAGAGAGGAGAGTGATCAATCAAAGTAGTTGATCATCAATTAGGATTTTGGTCCCTGTCAATGGCTTCACCATGTTGCCAAATGGGCTATTAACAAGTAGACAATTAGACAATGGATTCAAAGCTTGTGTCCCAAATGGCACCATATATATAATGTACTACTTTTGACCAGGGCCCATAAGGTCATTTTCCAGGCCAAGGGGACAATTCCAATGAAAAAGTTGGGAAATGCATCATACATCAGGTTTTTACTGTTGATATAGGACAAAGAGGCAATCTCTGGCACTGTTAAAATATCACCTTTCTGTTATCGTATCTCTTTTATCATGATGTCAGTTGTCATATCATATCTCTCTGTATCATGGTATCAGTTGGCATATCTCTCTGTATCCTGGTATCAGTTGTCATACCATATCTCTCTTTATCCTGGTATCAGTTGTCATATCTATGTATCATGGTATCAGTTGTCATATCTCTCTGTATCATGGTATCAGTTGTCATATCTCTCTTTATCATGTTATCAGTTGTCATATCTCTTTGTATCAGTTATCATAGCTCTCTCTATCCTGGTATCAGTTGTCATACCATATCTTTCTTTATCCTGGTATCAGTTGTCATCTCTCTCTTTATCATGGTATCAGTTGTCATATCTATGTATCATGGTATCAGTTGTCATATCTCTGTATCATGGTATCAGTTGTCATATATCTCTGTATCATGGTATCAGTTGTCTTATCTCTCTGTATCATGGTATCAGTTGTCATATCTCTGTATCATGGTATCAGTTGTCATATATCTCTGTATCAGTTGTCATATCTCCCTGTATCATCATGGTATCAGTTTTCATATCTCTGTATCATGGTATCAGTTGGCATATCTCTCTGTATCATTGTATCAGTTGTCATATCTCTCTTTATCATGGTATCAGTTGTCATATCTCTCTGTATCAACGTATCAGTTGTCATATCGCTCTGTATAATGGTATTAGTTGTCATATCTCTCTTTATCATGGTATCAGTTGTCATATCTCTCTGTATCAAAGTATCTGTTGTCATATCGCTCTGTATAATGGTATTAGTTGTCATATCTCTCTTTATCATGTTATCAGTTGTCATATCTCTTTGTATCAGTTGTCACATCTCTCTGTATCATGGTATCAGTTGTCATATCTCTTTGTATCAGTTGTCATATCTATTTGTATCAGTTGTCATATCTCTCTGTATCATGGTATCAGTTGTCATATCTCTTTGTATCAGTTGTCATATCGCTCTGTATCATGGTATCAGTTGTCATATCTCTCTTTATCATGTTATCAGTTGTCATATCTCTTTTTATCAGTTGTCATATCTCTCTTTATCATGGTATCATATATGTCTTTGTATTATGGTATCATGTATCTCTCCACATGGTGTCTGCTGTTGTGTCATGGTATCATGCATCTGTGTGTGTGTGTGTGTGTTAACTAACTCTAGTTTTGTTCTCCTCTCCAGACTTCTCTCCCCCAGCATCGCCCCTCAGTGCCCTGTTCCCTCCGGCTCGAGGGGAAGGAGGGGAGTGTTTCGGTGAGCTGGATCCCATGCCTGTCTGGGACTGGAGTACAGCCTGGGTGGAGGAGATGGAGGCGCAGTATCGCGCCCAGTACCCCTCCCAGGCCGATGCACCCCCCGCCTGCGACACCTGGGAGCATCGTCGTGATGACCGTCACTGTGAGGACCGCCGAGCCACCGGAGGGGGTAGGGTTTGAGGACGAGGGGGGTCAAGGACGACCTCACAGCGATGATTGGTTGGCTTGATGATGATGAGTTGTTATTCAAATCCATTTCAATGCCAAGACATGCATTTAATTTACTCATGATTTGTTAAGTACTCATCGAAAAGCAGGAGATAAACAATGTAATTGTAAGTTTCATGCATGAATTAGAAAGTGCCATTTGTTTTCCTGTGAGTGCTTTACAACAAGTCATGAGTAGAAGATGTAATTGGGAATTGAATGAAGTTGACCATTCAACCTCTCCCATCCAGACCACTATTGGTTACCTGAACTAGGTTTCCCAGAATACCTCAGGGCAGTCTCTCCCATGAAAATAGAGTTCCTAGAATGGGCATCTTCTATTTCTATGGATCCTCCTCCATTTTGTGTTCTCCATATGTCCTAACCTGGGATGGTCTTCCCAAGAGTTTAACCACAGACCCAAAAACAACATAAAAAAAGTTTCAGTCACATTTTCTCAACTCGTGTCATACCAGGTCGTTCCAGAATAAATATTTGGAGTGTTATGCTTTTAGTGGCACTATTACTGTAATGCAGTGCATTTTTCTTCTTCCAGAATCTTCCAAGGGCTATGATCCTGCTATCCTGGTTAAAACAGACACAACTGAACGCACAATGGTGAGCGCAGCATTCAGTCTGGTTTAACCAGGCTATGATCCTGCCATATTATAGCGTATTGAAAATGACAGGAGAGAATTTGTACAGAACATTCACTGATCATTCATTTGCAATAGAATGTAAATATATGCGACAGATTTTATTTAATGAACCATGAACACTGTGACGTTCCAACCCATTTTCTGCCTCTTTTCTTTTCATCGTCCTTTGTTCACAGAAGACGGTCTAAAGTTTTATCATGTTTTTTATTATTATTAAATGTGATTTTGTCTCTATTGATTTTATAATGAGAGCTAAACATTTAAGTTGTTACACTAGACTTTGGAAGACGTAGTTATGTTCTGTTTCAGATTTTGTTAAATTTCTCTTCCCTTTGACTTAAAACTAAACATTGAGGGCTGAATCATGACTTCAGATGTGTGTGCGTCACTCAACTGTTTTTTCTCGCAATTCTCCCTTTGACATTAATACATGACTCGCGCAAACGTCTCAGTCACACACTCATCTGTCTGAATTTAGGATTTGGCCCTATGTACTTGCTGAAATGTGTATAAGTAGAATATTTTTCTCATGCTGTGAAGGTCTTCCTTTTGTAAGAATAGGTTCAGTAGGACTGGACTAATGTGTCTTACTGGAGAGGAGGAATAATTATTCCTTTTATATAAATGTTTATGAATTACTTAATAATAATATTTGAAGCTTAACTAACTCAGTGTCTTCTACTGTGGCCTTATTGATAATAAAAACATAAGTCTCAGTCTTCTTAGTCATTAATGTTCATTAATGTTTATTCCAGGAAGTCTTTCTCAAGTAGCAGTGGATATTAGTGTACTGTACCTGTGTTTCATCCTTGCCTTGTTAAATTTGCCCGTTGTTTGGTAAGACAACCACAAGTTGGCTTAAGCAAAAACAGACCCGCAACCAAGATCAATTGATTATATTTTGAGACTATCAATCGCATTCTGTGGATCAGGATGATCTCCTGCAAATGTTTTGATACCAACTGGTATCCAACTCAAATTACATCCAGTTCAATCCTAATGTGACACTAAACCTTTAAATCAAATGTAATATTCAGTGGCACTTATGTAATATTCAGTGGCACTTACAAAGATTCTGTCCTTGTAATGTAGGGGATGAACAATCATCCAAAATTATTCTTAAAACGAAAGGAAAAGATCATCTTTGATGATGTGTAGCATTTTGGACCCTCTGGTCTCAGATTATTGCTGATCGCTCTGTATTGCCTCTCCTCCCTTTTGGTCAACTGTGCGTGTGCATGTGCGTGCGTGCGTGTGTGTGTGTCCTTGCCAAATAAGCTATTGACAAAAGACTGAGTTTGCTGCTTTAGTCTGTATTGAGTTGTTACATAGTGTTAATCCCCATTCGCCACTACCACAAACAAACAGAAATTACATTACACAACAGTGTCCTCATCTTGCCTCGTATGTGTAGGCTACACATCCAGAGGGATTATCCCTCATATCACAGTGCTCACTACCCCACGGCCATATACTCAGCATGAAAAGCGACCAGTCCCCAATACACCCACACACACAAACGTATGCACACAACTGTGTCACACACACACAAGCATGCAAACACACTTAATTCATGCACATTTGAACACACACACACATACTTCCTCCCCCTACATCACCCTACACACAAACACATGGTACAATAGGGATCTGTACCACTTGGTTAAGCCTGTGCCAAAATGGCAGCTTTTTATAGCCTGTCGGTAATCTATTGGCCCGGACAGAGAACACAGAAACTGGGCCCCAATGTCTGCCGCCAAGTAGACCTGGGTTCAAATACAATTTGCAATCTTTCAAATACTGTGACAAATGTGCGAGTTTTATACTTTTTGGAGTATTCTTTTGTTTCCATTTCGCCATGCTGGCTCAATCAAACACAGCGGCAGTATTTGAAATGATTTTAAATAGTATTTCAACCCAGGTCTGCTTTGATGCTTGTTTTGTACTTTTTTTCTCACGTTCTTCCTGTTTTTATTTACATATCAATTTTTATGTCATAGCTGCCATTTCACCAGAGGGATTATGAATTTTGGTAGGAAAATAATATTATGCTATCTGTGTTTGGTCACTGCTTTGTCTAGGGAGTAGAACTTTCTTTGAATGAGAGAGAAGTAATCCAATGCTTCCTCGTTAATTTGGACTGGGATGTCCAGTTAGATTTGACTGGATCGTTGGACAATAATATTCAGTGGCTCTGCTTGTACAGAACTTATGGCAAGCCATTTTCTTACACTCCACCTCTGGGCAGGCAATGCTGCATATTAACTGAATATAATTTCTGTGTGAGTTTTTGTGGGATGCCTTGTTTTCAAAGCATGCCGTCAACCATCTGGGCAGAGGTAAAATTGCAATTAAAAGTTGTACACTGAACAGTGACAAATGTATTTACAGTTGCATGTTAAAGTGACAATTATTTCATAACTGGAAATCAATGTGGCACACATGGGCAATCCATATCCACTCTGCCATGTCTGTCAATACGATGTAACCAGCTTACCTCCATCACACACACTTCCACATACATGTACAGACACACACACTCAGTGCTGTGTGGTGGTGTCATATTGGGGGTGTTTGGTTGGCCGGGTTGGTGGTGTTTCCTGTGCATTGTGTGATCAGAGTCTATAGTGGATTGGTCAGACCCCATGAGAGCCTGGCTTCTGTTGGCCCTCTGTGACCCAGATCTGGTCTGGACCAGATTAAACAGAAGGGTCCCTCCATCTTCCTCTCTTCTCCTTTTCTCTTCTCTTCTCCTTTCCTCTTCTTTTGTCTTCTCTTCTCCTCTTCTTTCCTCTTCTTTTCTCTTCTCTTCAAACATACTAACTCAACCAACTCAAATTCAATCCCCAAAAGTTTACATTCATACGTACATACAATTAACTTCTGCTCACATATCCTATGGACTGCATACAGCTTCATTTGCGACCCATTTTGCATACAGAACGTCTGCCCAAAAGTCAAAAGCATCCATCTCTTCTCTGCCGCGCAATTAACATGGAAATTGGAATGTGACATTTTGGACGGGACAGGGGTTTTAATGACCCACCCCATCCCCAACTCCTCCTCATCCCTCCATCGCTCTCTCTCTTTCTCTAGTGGGCGTTTCTGGCTTGACACTGGCCTAATGAATGAGCTGGATGATTAATGGCAATAGGGGAGAAATGGAACAGGGGGGATTTGGGGGTTGAAGGTGGGAAAGGGGCCTTCCAGGATGCCCATGAAGGTGGGAGATAAGCGGTTTGAGGTCTAAGGGCGAGTCCTAAAGGCTCTTCCCTGTCTACAGTGTGTTGAGAGGGCCTGTGAGCTAGTCTCTCAGCGATACTGTCAGTATATTTTGTCCTTGAGTGGATTCAGTGTTTAGGTGTACATGAACATCGCTAGCTAGTAAGGTAGAAGTACTTTATATCAGTCGTACATCATTGTTTTGTGTTGTCTCTGTCGAGTTGAGCTATAATAGGTATAGGAGTTGGTCTGAATAAGTTAATTCGGAGACTTGTGTGTCTCCTGTCTTTGTCTGGGTTTCTTGTGACCTGACTTGCATAGTAGTGCATCCTGATTAACTACACATGGAGCAGTCCCATCCCCACTCCCGTTTTAATTACTCTTTGATCCAGCTAGGCTCAAAATACTAATTTCAGCAACATGCCTTGTTGTTCCAGGGCACAACAGTAGGCTACAGTACAGTACAAAGACAACCCATCATGCCCTTTTTCAGTTCACTGCTGGGGCACAATGAGAGCGCTCCCAGGACACTCTATGGTGTGTTTGTGTGTGTACAGGGCACCTCAGTGTTGTGTGTGATGTCTCAGGTGGGCAGAGGAGAGAGTGTGTGTTATTTATCGCTCTCAAAGCTCTGAGTTAAGGCCCTTGGCACACTGGCAATTTCATACTTCTATGTGCAGAGCCAACCAGGTGGAATGCACTGTGAATAGTCAGAGGCTTCAGGAAGAAAATAAAGAAAACATGACTTCAGCTAAGCTTTTACATAGAGAGAAGGGGGGGGGGGGGGGGGGGGGGGGGGGGGGGGACAGTTCACCACCAAACCAAAAGTATGTCATACGTTTTCGTAGTTTAGCTGAGTGTAAATTCTACATAATCTGTTGTGTAGATCCAGCTTTATGCAGTGGGAGACATCGTCAGGTCTTCAATCCAAATGTATAGGAAGATTTGGCACTGTCTAATTTAGTTTTATTAGATTGTCGTACACAGTAAACATACAGTTGAAGTCGGAAGTTTACATACACTTTGTTTGGAGTCATTAAAACTCGTTTTTCAACCACTCCACAAATTTCTTATTAACAAACTATAGTTTTGGCAAGTCGGTTAGGACATCTACTTTGTGCATGACACAAGTAATTTTTCCAACAATTGTTTACAGACAGATTATTTCACTTATAATTCACTGTATCACAATTCCAATGGGTCAGAAGTTTACATACACTAAGTTGACTGTGCCTTTAAACAGCTTGGAAAATTCCAGATGATGTCATGGCTTTAGAAGCTTCTGATAGGCTAATTGACATAATTTGAGTCAATTGGAGGTGTACCTGTGGATGTATTTCAAGGCCTACCTTCAAACTCAGTGTCTCTTTGCTTGACATCATGGGAAAATCAAAAGAAATCAGTCAAGACCTCAGAAAAAACATTGTAGACCTCCACATGTCTGGTTCATCCTTGGGAGCAATTTCCAAATGCCTGAAGGTACCACGTTCATCTGTACAAACAATAGTGCGCAAGTATAAACACCATGGGACCATGCAGCCGTCATACCGCTCAGGAAGGAGACGCGTTCTGTCTCCTAGAGATGAACGTACTTTGGTGCGAAAAGTTTGGTGCAAATCAATCCCAGAACAACAGCAAAGGACCTTGTGAAGATGCTGGAGGAATCAGGTACAAAATTATCTATATCCACAGTAAAACAAGTCCTATATCGACATAACCTGAAAGGCCGCTCAGCAAGGAAGAAGCCACTGCTCCAAAACCGCCATAAACCAGCCAGACTACGGTTTGCAACTGCACATGGGGACAAAGATCGTACTTTTTGGAGAAATGTCCTCTGGTCTAATGAAACAAAAATAGAACTGTTTGGTCATAATGACCAAATTTATGTTTGGAGGAAAAAGGGGGTTGCTTGCAAGCCGAAGAACACCATCCCAACCGTGTTGCACGGGGGTGGCAGCATCATGCTGTTGGGGTGCTTTGCTGCAGGAGGGACTGGTGCACTTCACAAAATAGATGGCATCATGAGGATGGAAAATTTGGTGGATATATTGAAGCAACATCTCAAGACATCAGTCAGGAAGTTAAAGCTTGGTCGCAAATGGGTCTTCCAAATGGACGATGACCCCAAGCATACTTCCAAAGTTGTGGCAAAATGGCATAAGGACAACAAAGTCAAGGTATTGGAGTGGCCATCACAAAGCCCTGACCTCAATCCTATAGAACATTTGTGGGCAGAACTGAAAATTCACCCAAATTATTGTGGAAGGCTCCCCGAAACGTTTGACCCAAGTTAAACAATTCAAAGGCAATGCTACCAAATACTAATTGAGTGTATGTAAACTTCTGACCCACTAGGAATGTGATGAAATAAATAAAAGCTGAAATAAATCATTCTCTCAACTATTATTCTGACATTTCACATTATTAAAATAAAATGCTGATCCTAACTGACCTAAGACAGGGAATTTTTACTAGGATTAAATATCAGGAATTGTGAAAAACTGAGTTTAAATGTATTTGGCTAAGGTGTATGTAAACTTCCGACTTCAACTGTATTTTTAGACATTCTTATGAAACATGACTTGTAAAGTAAAAAAAAGTACCCAATTTATTGTTCAACAAATGTATTTTATTGTATTATTACAAAACAACAAGACTACCAAAAAGTTAGTCGACAGAACATGTCATTTTGTTTTTTTTAACAGAATATGCAAGTCATCGCACAATCGCAGCAACGCTCCTTCAAAAGTGACGGTTACAATCTTTTCACAACGTCGTCTGTCTGTCGGTTTACAACGCTTCCTCTGTAAAAAAAAAAAATGAAGAAAAAAAAAAGAAACGTAGAAAACAACATTCTCATCGGACCACGGGCGATAGGGATCCAAAGATGACAGAGACGACAGGCAGAGGCATCCTGAGAGGACGAGGACCCCTGCAGTTTCAGCTGTCCGGCCGGCCGCCTGACAGAAACACACTTTGTGCTTCATATTTTTTGTTGTTTCTCCACCACAACAAGAGTGCAATAGTCTTTATGCTTTCCGAATGAAATACAGTTCTACAAAAAGACGTTGGCACATTCAAGACATTAACTTTTTATACATGTGTTTTTCCTTATAAATACAATATACTTTTTCTTTCCCTGTATCCAGAGCTCACGTAAAAACAGTACGGCGATGGCTATTTACAAATGAATGTGGGCCAAGCCCGAGAGTCATAAATAATCATAATAATATTTTATTTTAAGGATGAAAATCCGTTCTTCTTCTTCCATTGTTCTTCAGAAAGTGATCTTAATTTTTTTGCTGTTTGCTTCGATCGAAGAAAGAAAACGGGAGGCATCAAAGGAACGTCGAATGACAAAGGTGTTTTGTTTTCTGCAAGTCTTCCGGTATCCACTTATCTCATTTCCTGCAACAGACAGACAGACGTGTCAACAAATGTGAATAAAAGGGGGGAAAAGCAGAAATTATTATCTGTACATAACATTGAGGAGCTCTCACAAAGCATGTCTCATAAATCAAAAAGGTAGCCTAGATCACTAGTTTTGAATACAACAAAATGTATTTGATTTGTCTATTTATTTTCAAAACAGAGCCCATAACCAGCTACAAAACTAAATGAGAGGAGCTTCACAACCCTAAGGAGGTGGCCTTTAAGTATACACTTTTGGGAGAAAACCCAAAATTGTACTAAAAACCATCATAAAATGTTTCTAAACCAGGGCAAAACCCCTATTCAGCTCTATCTCGCTGTAACCCAAACACTAGTCAACCGCCCTATGGGGCAGCTCTGGTTCGTCCTTCATGGACTACTTGACTCAGTAATCACCTGAGGGATTGGCCGTTAATCGAGGAAGTCAAGATCTGAGGGAGTCACACAAAACGCATCCCCCACTGGGGGGTAAAGAACAACCCCCCCCTCCCCTCCCCTCCCCTCCCCATTCACACCAATACCCCATTCAGTCGCTCTGTCCAAGTGGAAAGATAAGGCTCAGCACCATGACAGAAAGAGGGGTAACCCGCAACTGGCTCCCCAGTGAAACACACAGCCCCTCTATTGTAAGGCTCTGGCTTTTATGTTCCTGGTGGAGCAAGAAGGGCAGTGGAGGTGATGGGGGGGTGGTATCCACTTCACTAGGGAGCCTGCAGGGAGTGTATATAAGCAGCGATCACACAAAGAAGTGTACCCTCAGTAGTGCACTATAGAGGGAGAGTGGGGTGCGGGGCTAGCCTTGACATTTTGATACACTGTGCAGGGGATTTTGTGTTTTGTGTGTGCATATTTCTATGGCGAGAGATAAAGTATTTGTGAGTGTGTGTATGTGCACATATTTTTTTATAGAGATACAGTATATAGTATTTGTGAGCAATAGTAGACATAAATCAAATAAATATCTACACACTTGACAGGGTTTGTCATTTTGCTCATTTATCCCTTGTGTCAGCATTTCCATGCTAGTGAATGATTATTTACACAAGTATGACACTAGCACTGAACCATAGATGTTATATTGTCTATGCCCTGAACTGTGTAGAGCAACTGAATACATTTGCTGGATACTGAGCTGTACTTTGCTTTATTGACAAAGACCAATGCGTGGTAGAGGGGTACAATTGAATTAATTCTATATGTATTTTCATAGTACATGGTCTATGAAAGCGGCAACATTTTTGGCCAAGTGAGATACAACAACTGCTGGTAAAGATAATGAGCTGACACTCATTGGCAAGTGAATTTTGAAAGGAGAAGAGTTGCCTGTCCCCGTCTTAGCTAAAAAACGAATCATGTCATGACTCTAGGTGGCCTCTGCTGTAGCATCTCTTCTCACCCCTCCATTAACCCCTGAACACCAGCAGACATTGTAGCTCCCAATAACTAGAACCAACCATTGTCCCCTTGTATTACCACTATTCCTACTAATGTAGTCTCTTCTCGCCCCCTTTCTTGATATGAATAGCTTAACTAAATGCCAGAGAGAATAACAAAAACAGCAGATATTGTGGCTCCAAAGAACCAGAACCCTTGTCTCACCTCGTTGCGTTTCCTGCCTGAGCCGTGACCCCCTCGTGAACCCGTGGAGCCCCGCGACGAGGAGCTTCCTGTAGTGGAGCAGTTACTGGACATCTGACCCCCCCGCCCCGCCAGGTAGCTGGGCTTGCTGTACGGGATAAGGTCCTCATCTGTGGAGGAGATGGGATTGGAGGAGGGGAGAATTAGGGTCAGGGATTTCCATATTGGGAATGGAGAGTTAGACAAATGGCTATTCTACTGATGAAAGAGGGTCTTCAAGGAAAGAGGGAGTAATAAGTCTGCGTTTTTAATGGATGGATTTGTGAAATGAAATGTATTCATATGTTAGTGTGTGTGTGTGTGAGAATGTGTTTATGAGCATAATTGATTTATGTATTATTATTTGTGTGAAGTTAAGTGTAAATTAGTATTTTCTGGGTGAAAGAGTGACTGTGTTTGGGTGCGAGTGCTAATAGGCTACTGCAAAGGCTCTGGCTGTGCTTGTGTTTGTGAGTATGAGACTGAGCATGTGTGTGAGTTTGAACACCATACTGCACCACTCACCATCTTGGCGTCGCTGTCCCAATCCCTTCCTATGGGGGGTGCTCCTCTCTCCTTCTCTCCTTTCCATGGAGGACAAGGGCCCGGGGTCCCCCTCTCTGTCAAGGGATGCTTGGCCACAGTCTACAGCCCCTGCTGGGCCCCGCACTGCTCCATTCTCTGGAGGTGGCTCTGGTGGAGGGGGGAGGTCTTGAGGAGGAGACAGACATGGACAACAGGGTTAGGGTTGGATTGCACTGGAACAGCAGTAAATATATAAACATATAGGCAATAATGTAGGCTTTACGCACACAGAGACATGCTCATGCCCAACATATATTAATTGATTTGTTTGTTCACTCACACACACACACACGCGCGCACACACACACACACTCACCTCCTTGGTTGAGCACCTCTCTTCTGTAAGCTCCGCTTTTGGAAGTCTTCTTTTTCACTCGTGACTTTAGGCCAGGGGGAGTGTGTGTGTTGTCGGCTGGGGAGGGCTGAGCTCTTACTGTAGGTCAGCCAGAAAGACAGAAAACATTACTATAAGGTGATGGAATATTGGTCCTTTGAAGCACTGTACATGGATAAATAACAACATTGCAATGTCTTATATAATTTCAGCTGATTGTTTAGGTGTTACGAATAACATGAATTACATACTTGATATAAATTAAATGAATTTTCTGTGTGTGTGCATGCGTGTGCGTGCACTTCTGGGTTTGAATGTATGTGTATCTGCACATCTGTGTGTGATGCATTCACTTGTGTGTGTTTACACAGAGTGGTAAGGGTCACTGACCAGGTGTGGTGGAGCTGACATTGTCGGCACTCAGTGCTGCCCCCTGGCTGAGGTCACGGCGGTGGGCCGAGCCGTTGCGGAGCGGTGTGCCCCCCTCGGAGCCCTCACCGTGTTGCTGGGCTGAGAGGTTGGGGTTGGACTGGGTGAGGGGCGGGCTGGGCGCCCTGGGCACTGGGAGGGGACCACAAGGTAACCTACTGTATAACGGCAAAGAAAGAGAGGGTGGTTAGCAATAGCAATGACATACTTGTATTATTTTACTACTATGCTATGTTACACAATTGAATTATTGTTTTGTTTATTTTAGTGGGGATTTTACTGCTCATATCATAAGCATTGTGCTATCTGCTGTTAATGACATTGGGCAATTACCATACCAAAGCAATGATTATACCTATGTTATCACCATCTTATTAATTTGAACAAGAGGGTATTCACTGCCATCACCATTAGTACCGACCCGTAGCACTCACGTCTGTAGCCATGAAGTGCTTTGAAAGGCTGGTCATGTCTCACATCAACACCATTATCCCAGAAACCCTAGACCCACTCCAATTTGCATACCGCCCCAACAGATCCACAGATGATGCAATCTCTATTGCGCTCCACACTGCCCTTTCACACCTGGACAAAAGGAACACCTATGTGAGAATGCTATTCATTGACTACAGCTCAGAAATCTCAGAGATCAATTGGTAAACTCTGATTTACCACCCCTAAATATCCCTGCACAACGTCTATTTGCGCCTCTACCGGATGGAAACTACAAGTGTAATGGCTGCGCTCAATGCAATGGCACTTACAAATGTAGATCCTTCAAACACCCCCAAACGATCCCAATCAAAGGCGTTATTACGTGCTCCACTAAGGCAGTTATTTATCTTATAACTTGTCCTTGTGGTAAAAATTATGTGGGTAAAACAAAGCGCAAATTAAAAGTATGAATCTCGGAGCATCGTAGCACCATTCGGTGCAAAAACTCGACATACCCAGTCGCTGCCCACTTTTTGGAAGCGAACCACTCGATTTCGTCCCTAGGAGAGGGGGTGACCTCGATAACTTATTGTTAAAACAAGAGGCTGCCTGGATCTTTAATTTAAAGACCCTTGCTCCCTTCGGTCTCAACGTTGACTTTGATTTGAAGCCATTCTTGTGATTATTGTGATTTTGCTATTCATTGTAAATGTTTGTGGGCCTATGTAGCCAGGTTGTATCTATGATCATATGCCATCTATTCATGTTTTTGTATATTCTGTTTATCCGTGAATTAACCAATGATATCAGGCCACACCCGGCCATGATTACAGACACCTGTGTGTGTGTCCTTTGACACTATATAAACTAGTGACCCGCAGTGTTTGTCATTATACCCTAATGAAGACAGCTTGTCTGTCGAAACGTTGGTTATTAGGTTATTAAATGATTGCATCTGAGCTCCTAGAGTGTGCAGCTCTCCTTTTCTTTTTCAAGTGTTCTACTCCGCTAGCCAGCACCTCGCCTAAATAGGTGTGCGTTTATTTCGCCTCTATACATCTCAGCGTTCAACACTATACATCAGTGCCCTCAAAGCTCATCACTAAGCTAAGGACCCTGGGACTAAACACCTCCCTCTGCAACTGGATCCTGAACTTCCTGACAGGCCGCCCCCAGGTGGTAAGGGTAGATAACAACACATCCGCCACGCTGATCCTCAACACGGGGGCCCCTCAGGGGTGCGTGCTCAGGCCCCCCTGTACACCCTGTTCACTCATGACTGCATGGCCAGGCATGGCTCCAACACCGTCATTAAGTTTGCCGATGACTCAACAGTGGTAGGCCTGATCACCGACAACGACGAGACAGCCTATAGGGAGGAGGTCAGAGACCTGGCCTTGTGGTGCCAGGACAACAACCTCTCCCTCAACGTGATCAAGACAAAGGAGATGATTGTGGACTACAGGAAAAAGAAGAGGACAGAGCACGCTCCCAATCTCATTGACGGGGCTGTAGTGGAGCAGGTTGAGAGCTTCAAGTTCCTTGGTGTCCACATCACCAACAAACGAACATGGTCCAAGCACACCAAGACAGTCGTGAAGAGGGCACGACAAAACCTATTCCCCCTAAGGAGACTGAAATTATTTAGCATGGGTCCACAGATTCTTAAAAGGTTCTACAGCTGCACCATCGAGAGCATCATGACTGGTTGCATCACTGCCTGGTATGGCAACTGCTCGGCCTCCGACCGCAAAGCACTAGAGAGGGTAGTGCGTACGGCCCAGTACATCACAGGACCTCTATTCCAGGCGGTGTCAGAGGAAGGCCCTAAAAATTGTCAAAAACTCCAGCCACCCTAGTCATTGACTGTTCTCTCTGCTACCGCACGGCAACCGGTCCCGGAGCGCCAAGTCTAGGTCCAAGAGGTTTCTAAACAGCTTCTGCCCCCAAGCCATAAGACTCCTGAACATCTAATCAAATGGCTACCCAGACTATTTGCATTGCCCCCCCACCCCCTCTTTTACGCTGCTGCTACTCTCTGTTTATTATCTATCCATAGTCACTTTAATAACTCTACCTACATGTACATATTACCTCAATTAAATGGTGCCCCCACACATTGAGTCGGTACCGGTACACCCTGTATATAGCCTCGCTATTGTTATTTTTACTGCTGCTATTTAATTATTTGTTACTTTTATTTCGTATTATTTTATATTGTATATTTTGTTGTGATTTTTTTTGCTATTATTTCTTAAAACGGGATTGTTGGTTAAGGGCTTGTAAGTAAGAATTTCAATTTAAGGTCTACACCTGTTGTATTCGGTGCAAATACAATTTGATTTGATTAATGGAGGCTGCTGAGGGGAGAACGGCTCATAATAATGGCTGGAACGGAGCAAATGGAATGGCATCAAACCATGTGTTTGATGTATTTGGTACCAGCCATTGCCACGAGCCCGTCCTCCCCAATTAAGGTGCCACCAACCTCCTGTGATTAGTATGACTACAGTGCTACTGTTACCACTGTGTGTCTACATACATGATGTGACTTTTAGAATTTGACTGTTTTGTCATGCTGTGTCATGTCATACCATGCTAGCTGCTGCCCATCAAGGTGGTGAAGGCGTGCTGTGTTGTGGGGTGGATGGCGGCACTCCTCTCTGGGCGACGGCGTGAGGGTGGCGGTGGACTGGTGACTGTAGGAGGTGGCGGGGGACGAGGCGTCACCCCTGAGGGGAGGGGCGGGACCATCCTCGCAACCCTCGATCAGATAGGTCCTCTCCGGAAGGGGCGGGCACCACTCTTCCTCATCAGACCTGCGAAGGTGGAGGAAGAGTAGGAGAGGGTCAGAAAGAGTTAACCTTTCAATTACATTTTATTATTCCATAGGTTCACTTTAGACAGAGTAGGATGACGTGGACCCTATAGACAATGATCTATGGTCAGTTTTTACATTTTCCTTATTAATGGTCAGGATTGGGGAGGATAAAAAGTCCCTAGATCTGTGTCTAAGGGCAACTTCTATCAGTTGGTGCTATGGAGCAGTAGGTAGATCGATCATTACACATTCACGATGGTGACCCCATAGAGATCGTATTAAATTATTAAGTATTCTAATTCCTAATTCTATGGGTGGCCCTCCCTCTAATGCCTACAGTATTCGTCAGTAGCGTATCGATTTCCACTGCTCTACAGCATCAATAGACAGTCTTCCCTGTGGGCAATGCTATACCTGTTACAGGTCTGCTAAGGGACATGTCTGTCAAGGAGGCTTTACCTGGGTGAAAAAAATCACATTCCATGTCCTATGCATTTCCATCAAACTGAATTGTTTTTCAGCTACGTTTGTCATACGTGTGCATGGAATCACTTAAAGGACGTTTTTATAAGTTTGTGTTTGGTAGAGAAGTATGTGTGTGCGCTTTTGTGTGTGTGTGTGAGTGCCAAGTGCGTTCATGTGTGTGTACACCATGGAGGAAATGGCAGAGGCCAGGGAGTAAGCTAGCTAATGTCATAATGCCAGGCCAACGTTCCTCTCAGCTAGCCACAGGGGCTAACTCAAAGGTTAACGCCGTTATCATGGGTTCATCACCAATCTCCACTAACTGCTAACGGCTAACCGCAGGGGGGCCAGGTGGAGCGGTGCATGAGAAGGCTGCTGAATGATTACTTTGTTCTGGTGACCAGGAGAAAAGAACATGAGAAGGGGAACGGGCTAACGTCGGCTAATGTCATTAGCTAACAGGGTCAATGTGTAAGAGAGGGTTGGAACTTGGGAATAGTGGCTAAATTGCTAACTGCCTGCTAGCTTCTTGGCTAGAGCCAATGTAATCTAGCTGTCAGAAATGGTTAGAGGTAGAAGTTTCTAAGCCTCACGGCTGCTTTAGTTGAGCTGCTAGCCTATTCAGGTGGAGTGAGAGGCAGTTAGGAGCGATAAGTGAATGGTCCCCTTGCCAAAACGTTATGAATACTGACTTGCTGGCCTTGACAATATTATGTTATAGGAAGTGTGTGCGTGCATGCATGTATGACTATGTGCGTAGGCGAATGCGTGTGTATCCATTTTGCAGTGTGACAGTAATGTGGTCCAGCGGGGACCTGGAAGAAAAGGTGCATTGAGGTCCAGAGCCAACAAGGGGTTAACAGAGAGAGACCAAAGAAGAGGCTGTCCTGTCAGACAGAAAGGCAACGTAAGGCTAACGTCATTAACCTTCACACAAAGCCCTGGCCTAGCACTATGTGTCAGTGGGGCCTGAGAGTGCAAGGGCCAAGAGAAACACAGTGCGAGAAGGTCAGAGGCCCATAGTTCTATAGGACAGTATACAGACCTATAAAGAATGTCCATAGAGGTTACATGAGAGCTACCGTACCTCAATCAGTATGACCTCCAAGTTAGCAAGAATATGGTGTAACTGGTGTGTATGTGTGTGTTTGGCCAGACATCATAAGAGTGTGTGTGTGTGTGTTCACGCTTATATGTATTCATGTGTGTGTGTGTGTGTGTGTGCTTACCCTAGCTCCATGTCCTCATGGTCATCCATGGGCAAATTCTCTACCACACACTGCTCCAGCTCCCCTGATGAGGGGGGCGGGGGGAGGGCTTCAGTCCAGTTTAGAGAGGGGGTCTTCACCGCCTTGCCCATGGACTTCTGCTTGGGTTTACCTACACATAGACACAAAGAGCTGGTTTAGTGCTGTACAATGTGAAGACTGGGTCCTAAGGTCTCTAAATTAGTTTTAATATGCTTGAAATGGGAATATGTCACAAACCACAAAATTGAAACATAACTGGAGATCACTCGTCATTTCTGGAGACATGGATCAGTGTTACACCAATTTACAGTAGGTTAGCTACCGCTACGTCTCTTGTTGCTAGCTAGTAGGTACCGTAATGTCAAGGTGCCTCCAGTTATAAAAAATGTCAAGGTGCCTCCAGTTATTATGTTGACATTTTTGTGAATGTTGCTTTGGGGTCTTGGTGGCCCACCCTGAACCATTTACCATGGGAAACATTCTTAAACACTGTCTTACTGCAGTCCGTCCTGCAGCGCTCGGGCTGGGCGTACTGGGAGGAGGGTCCGGCGGGATGGGTGATCCAGTGGCCGCCATCTTGCTCTGTGGGGCTGTGAGACCCCTGGAGTGCCTGGTTGGTGAAGGGCATGATGGGAGTGCTGGCGTAGGGCGTGGTGGAGGAGTAGGGGCTGTTGAAGCTACGCAGCTCTTCGGCGTTGGGGTCGATGGTGCTGTAGATAGGACCTTCGTTGGAGCTGCCCGTGCTGTACTTCTCTGTTTGGTTCAGGTAGTTAGAGATGCCCGCCTCTGGTGGTGAGAGGGGTCAGAGGTGAAAGGTCAGATTCAGGTCAGAGGTGATGGATTTATTGTTATTTAACTGCCGAGTTAGTATTGTTATGTGAGCTAAGCGATTCTTGTATTACCCAAAACAGTTACCATGACATACAGTGCATTCGGGAAAGTATTCAGACCCCTTGACTTTTTCCACATTTTGTTACGTTACAGCCCTATTCTAAAAATAAAATCCTCATCAATCTACACATAACACCCCATAATGACAAATCAAAAACAGGTTTTTAAGAAAGAAAAAAACTGTGTCTAGGTTTTCACATGTGTAGGCCCCGTGTAGCTCAGTTGGTAGAGCATGGCGTTTGCAACGCCAGGGTTGTAGGTTCGTTTCCCACAAGGGGGCCAGTATGAAAATGTATGCACTAACTAACTGTAAGTCGCTCTGAATAAGAGCGTATGCTAAATGACTAAACATTTTAAAAAATGTCCATTTACATAAGTAGTCAGACCCTTTACTCAATACTTTGTTGAAGCACCTTTGGCAGCTATTACAGCCTCGAGTCTTCTTGGGTATGACGCTACAAGCTTGGCACACCTGTATTTGGGGAGTTTCTCCCATTCTTCTCTGCATATCCTCTTAAATTCTGTCTGGTTGGATGGGGAGCGTCGCTGCACAGCTATTTTTAGGTCTCTCCAGAGATGTTCGATGTCCCGAAGCCACTCCTGCATTGTCTTGGCTGTGTGCTTAGGGTCGTTGTCCTGTTGGAAGGTGAAGCTTCGCCCCAGTCTGAGGTCCTGAGCACTCTGGAGCAGGTTTTCATCAAGGATCTCTCTGTACTTTGCTCCGTTAATCTTTCCCTCGATCCTGACTTGTCTCCCAGTCCCTGCCACTGAAAGACATCCCCACAGCATGATGCTGCCACCACCATGCTTCACCATAGGGATGGTGCCAGGTTACCTCCAGACGTGACACTTGGCATTCAGGCCAAAGAGTTCAATCTTGGTTTCATCAGACCAGAGAATCTTGTTGGCTGTCCAAGTGGGCTGTCATGTGCCTTTTACTGAGGAGTGGCTTCCGTCTGGCCACTCTACCATAAAGGCTTGATTGGTGGAGTGCTGCATAGATGGTTGTCCTTCTGGAAGGTTCTCCCACCTCTACAGAGGAACTCTGGAGCTCTGTCAGAGTGACCATCGGGTTCTTGGTCACCTCCCCCCGATTGCTCAGTTTGGCCGGGCGGCCAGCTCTAGGAAGAGTCTTGGTTGTTTCAAACTTCTTCCATTTAAGAATGATGGAGACACTGTGTTCTTGGGGACCTTCAATGCTAAAAAAAAATGTCGTACCCTTCCCCAGATCTGTGCACAGTTAATTTTGGGACCTTATATAGACAGGTATGTGCCTTTCCAAATCATGTCCAATCAATTTAATTTACCACAGGTGGACTCCAATCAAGTTGTAGAAACATCTCAAGGATGATCAATGGAAACAGGATGTATTTCTGTATTTATTTTTAATACATTTGCAAACATTTCTAAAAATCTGTTTTCGCTCTGTCATTATGGGGTATTGTGTGTAGATTGATGAGGGAAAAATTGTATTTAAGCAATTTTAGAATAAGGCTGTAACGTAACAAAATGTGGAAAAAGGGAAGGGGTCTGAATACTTTCCGAATGCACTGTATACAGCATACAGTATTTAGTTAAGCAAAAGAGAATAAAAAAGTACAACAATTCAACCTGTTTGGTTTTCAGAAGATATGAATTCAGTCCCGTAGTATACCGTTCAAGTTTATATCACAAGCAGATGGCAACTATACATTGAGATTTCTTTAAAGACTGAGACTAGACCAAAAGGCATTGTAGAGATAATCCCTGGTTGTGTACAAAACAAAATGGCCATTGTGAGTAGAATCATGCCGTGTCTCATACCATTGTAGTATCTCTCTGCCGTGTCATGTTTGGCGGTGCAGCAGTTGACAGCCTCCTTGCCACTGTGGACCAGGTTGGTGGTGGGCCAGGAGTCTGCCAGCCACGGGTAGTTGCCCATGTTGCCACCCAGCATGCCAGGCCTAAAACATAATAAATCATATACTATGATCATATCTGATGCCAATCCACAACTTTGTTCTCATCACTTTACAAAAAAAAAGGACCATTAATAAGAATGGGAAAGTCTACTTGAAATAACATAAACAGGGATCCTTACCTTCCATTAAGTCCAGATGCCTCTCCATGTGGAAAGCCAACTGCAGAAGAAAGAAAACGTGCATTCAAGTGTGAATGGCAAGGTAAAATACAGTAAGGTATGGTTGGTTGCCATAGTGCAGTATGGTACAGTTCGCTGTAATATATTGGCACCCTTAAAGCAGGAATTAGCATTTGAAACAATAACAAAGCGTATTCGTATTCTGTTTCGGTAAAAAGCTGAGGGATGGGGCTGGAGAAATGTAACCACTCTCAAATTCATAGACAGAGCTATGGATGCAAGGACTGACCATCCATGATATCAAAATTAGAGTTTTAACCATGCTAAATAGTGTTTGTTTACATTTGCTTTGTTTCAAACATTGGAGTAAAACAATGTTATTTTGGGGTTCTGATGGGGTACGACAGTTGAACTAAGCTCGCGAGGCATTTATAAGTTATATTCTTCAACAATAAATGGGTACCTATCATTAATTTATAAGTCTAAAAATGGATGTAGCAACTGCAGATGGCCCCTTTAATGCACTATTTCTTTTCAAATAAGTTGAAACTGAAGTACCTTTTGGTGTTCATACAAGTATTTGATTGATTTACAACTGTACACGAAGAAAAAAAAATCTAAACTGAAATGTAGTTGTTATTTGTTTTGTATTCAGAAGAATTCATATGAATTTAGTTGGAGGCAGGTGATTCTCGTTTACTGTGTCAATTATCTCACCTTTGGTAAGTTGCAGGTGCCTACAAGGTAAAAATAGCCATTCAACCAGTTTTGAAAAGAGAAAACAGAACCTTCTTCTCCATTGTCAAGTGCAAGGTTGCCAATTGATTAGAAGGCAATAAGTGAGTAAATATTTTGTTAGGTAACTTTAAGATAAAATAGTAGCCTATTGTAAAGTGCAGTAGAATACTTGATATGGTAAGGTGGGTTACAACATACATCTTTGATATTGTGGTAAAGTAACATTAAGTGGTGTATAAAGATTGCATCATATAAAGTGTGTAAAGTACCTGCAGGCGTGTAGTTGAACGATGCGGTGTAGTGACTAAGCTCCTTCCTCTTCTTGCGGCGGCAGTAGATCCACACGCTGAAACCCATGAGGATGACCCAGCAGGCCCCGCCGATCCCAGCGATGAACGCCGGCTGCTTCACCACGTCAGTAATCTGCTCGGCCAGGCTCACGCTGCTCTCGTCACCCTCCGCGCCCCCACCGGTACCAGGCACTGACGGTGCCTCCACTGGAAGCTCTGAGGGAGAGCCGGAAGTAAGGGAGCAGTTAGTGGAGTGATATTTAACTTTTACCCTGTAAGTATTATAACCAACCTTTTCCACTTAATACAGCATGGTTTGAGTGCTGTGCATGACAAAATGGTATGTGTTATAAATCAAATGATGAATGGCCAAATATCTTCCACACTTCAGTACTGTTCGTAAGGTTAGAATCAGCCTGGATGGCCTCAAGGCAACAATAAAACATTTTATTCTAAGTTGTACACAGACTCTAAGCATGATACACACATGATTATGGTGCTACTGTTACACAGGTAGCCTAGCGGCAGGTAGCCTAGCGGTTAGGATCGTTTGGCCAGTAACTGAAAGGGTGCTGGTTCGAATCCCCAAGACGAATAGGTGAAAAATATGTCGATGAGCCTTTGACCAAGGCACTTCACCCTAATTGTTCCTGTAAATCGCTCTGGATAAGAGCGTCTGCTAAATGACCAAATACTTAAATGTAAAAATAATGCTTAACAATAATTTCAGTAATTTTAGCTACCCCCATTACAGATCAGCTAAATCTCCTTGATATCCCAGAACTGAAATGTCTAATTCTGCTAGCTTGTGGTTCTGTGGGGACTCACTGATGAGGACGGATACAGGCTGGCTGTGGGTGCCCACTCCGGCGCTGGTCACCGCTGCCACCTCCACCTGGTACAGGATGCCTGGCAGCAGCCCCTTGAGCACGGTGGAGAGGATGATGCCATCCACGGTGGTGTTGATGTGGTAGCGGGTCTGGGTGTCATTGCCCACACACCACACCTGTTGTTGGTTGGAAGACGGTGAGTTGGTGTGAGAAATGGAAGAGGTGCCCATATTATGATGCAGGTTAGCGTTTTTTTTCCGCCATTAATCTTGTTCTGAAGGCAGCTCTGCAGTGTGTTCACTAGCTGGCACAGCCACAAAGTCATAAAATCTGATTTTAAACCTAACCTAACACTAACCTTAACCACACTGCTAACCCTAACACCTAACCCTAACCTTAAATTAAGACCAAAAAGCACATTTTTGTTTTCATAATGTTTTTACAATATAGCCAATTTTGACTTTGTAGCTGGCCTATCTAAGGGGAAATCGCTCAGTTCTGCCTCCAGGACGAGACTCATGAAAATAAACGTCAACATGCTATTAGGACTGCCTGTTGTGACTCTGAGGCAGTCATTATATGGACACGATTTATTTTATTGTCCTATTTGAGCTGGTGTTTACATGATATTTAGTTATTTAGTAAATACTTATTTGGTAACTATGGGTACTTTCTGGTATTTGCTTCAAAGAATTTAAAACAATTCATAGTTATTCCTGTGTTTCCAATTACTTGTTTTAATGAATCCCAAAGAAACGATGTAGTAATTATGTAACTATTATTATGTAATGTCCATGTTGTTTATAAGAAAATACCACCTCTATGTATGCGAGTTTTTGGACAGATCCAATCATAATGTCGTCTTCTCTGGTTCAGTCAGCATACCTTGTACTCCTGGATGATTCCATTCTGCATGTCGGCAGGAGGAGGCTCCCAGGACACACTAATGCTGGAGCTGTTGCTCAGCTTTACTGTAACCACGGTGACTGCTCTGGGAGGGGCGCTCGGGACTGCAGGGGAAGAGAGAAGAGCAAGGTGTAAAAAAAACCCAACTCCATGTTGATATAGAAAAGATAAAATGGGGGCATTTGGTAAGATAGCGGAAATATGATTTGAGTTTGATGAAAATGGCAGACTCCATCAAATGCCATCAAATGCCAGGAAGTGGTTACTGAACTAAACTGTGCTTCTTCTTCATAACAGGATGTGAAGGTCACATAGGTGTTGGGAATTGCAATCCAATTGAGACTGAATTGCTTCGACTGAGATGTAACTCCTAGAGGCTCCTGAATAGCTAGCTACTGTCAAAAAGCCAGAGACCTCAAAATGTTCCAAGAGAAATACTAAAAAGGTTTATTTAAAAACCACTTCTAGAATGTATGTTGTATTTCACCCTTATTTTGCTGGGTACATTTTCTTTGACAGCAACGACTGTGTATGACCAATCAATCCCCACTTTAAAAGTGTTTATTTAAACCTGGAAGTCCCATTGAGCAAAACCTATTTGAAAATCCTTGTTACCCACCATTCCCTCCATTATGGACATAGGCTATCTCAAGTGTACAGTGTCCATATTTGGAGAGCCTCGGTCTCAGCAGGGCTTGTGTCAGTCTCATCAGAAGTTGTGAGTATCAGTAGCTTCTAGTCAGTCTTACCTTCCTCTGGTGTTCTGACCAGCAGCAGCCGACTGTCCTTGCCCTGGAACTCGTCGAAGTAGGGCCGGATCTTGATCTCGTACTCTGTGCCTTTGAGCAGGTCGGCGACCACGGCCAGGCGCTCTGACGGGGCCTTGACATCCTGCAGCTGCCAGGTGCCACCGATGGGCCGGTAGAGGAGCCGGTAGCCCTGCATGTACTGGGACTGACGGTCTACCTGGGGTGGCGCCGAAGAAAGGGGGGGAAAGAGAAAGAAAGAAGGAGGAAAAATTTGAGGAAAGGGAGAGAAAAAAATAGATAGATATGAGTTACAGTTATACTGCCCTTGAAAATGGGTATACAGTAAAAAACATTAAAGAGTGTGAAAGTACAACTGATGGTATTTCTTCTGTGAAAGAATATGTAAAAACTCAGGTCAGGGTACTCACCGTCCATGATACTTGAACACTGGAGGCAGTGAGTGTGACAGGCTCCTGAAGATGAACACCCACCTCTCCCAGCTCTCTCTGGACCTGCCTGTGGTCCACTCCCTGACCTGTAGGACTCACATCTGCAAACACAACATTAACAAACATCAATACACAAAATAATCAGTAAAACTATAGTAGATGCTTACTGTAGCTCACATTCAGTTGATTGAAATAACCAAAATAGTTTTTATGAAGCCTTCAGACCACCATGCTTTCATGATGTAAGGCCTTTTTTGTTTTCTTTCTATTGTCTTTCATAGTTAATGTCCAGTAAAACTGTTGTATCCCCTCCCAGGTACTGACCTTGTGTGCGGACGGGCTCAGAGATGGGGCTGGGGTCACTCAGCCCGTAGGCGTTGACCGCTCGGACGATGAACAGGTAGATGGTGTTGGGGAAGAGACCGCTGACAGTGTGTTTCTCCAACTTGACCAGGTCAGCCACCGTTTGCCACGTACTGCCTGCTGATTGGCTAGAGTAAGAGACCACAGACAATGATGTCATGTGTCATTTCCAATTATGTTAGTAAAGTTACTGTGCAAGGCTATTGTATAAGGCAACCCTTCCTTATACCCTATAGTGACAACAATGTCATTACTCCATAGTGACAACAAAATATTATTCACTGTCTTCATTCCGATGACAATAACAATAACGCCAGCTGTGTGTTTATGTCAAGTTTTGTTATGTTTTTTTGTCCTCTTAAAATGGCTTGTTTTTATGACAAATATGTGTGAGAAGATCACATGCATAATGATACCATTTTGCTGTGTATTAAATAAATGTGATAAATCTTGTGAACAACACATCTGATGAAGATAGAGGGAAACAGGTGAAGCTTCTTTGGCCTTGGCGGTCCCGTTTGCATTTTCCTCTACTGACTTCTTCTTTAGATTAACTGTCACCTCTTGTTTATTGTTTAGTGGCATGGTCACATGACACACTCCTCTACCCCTCGCTTTTTTATTTGTTATAATTTTTCTCTCCATTCGTTCACTTTTTATTTTCTCCTCCGTGCCAGAGACTGCCGCAGCAGACTGGTGACTTTACAGCCAACCTGCGCAATTAGGCGACAGAGATATAAAAGCTGCGTGAGCCATAAATATTCCTCCAGCAGACCACCCAATACTGGTAATGATAAATCCAAGGTCACTTTGTCGGAGGAGAGGCTGAAGCGTGGGACACACACACACAGGAAAACACATACAGTGAGGGAAAAAAGTATTTGATCCCCTGCTGATTTTGTACGTTTGCCCGCCGTGTTTGGAGCAGGAATGCTGCCTATGACCCCAAGAACACCATCCCCACCGTCAAACATGGAGGTGGAAACATTATGCTTTGGGGGTGTTTTTCTGCTAAGGGGACAGGACAACTTCACCGCATCAAAGGGACGATGGACGGGGCCATGTACCATCAAATCTTGGGTGAGAACCTCCTTCCCTCAGCCAGGGCATTGAAAATGGGTCGTGGATGGGTATTCCAGCATGACAATGACCCAAAACACACGGCCAAGGCAACAAAGGAGTGGCTCAAGAAGAAGCAAATTAAGGTCCTGGAGTGGCCTAGCCAGTCTCCAGACCTTAATCCCATAGAAAATCTGTGGATGGAGCTGAAGGTTCGAGTTGCCAAACGTCAGCCTCGAAACCTTAATGACTTGGAGAAGATCTGCAAAGAGGAGTGGGACAAAATCCCTCCTAAGATGTGTGCAAACCTGGTGGCCAACTACAAGAAATGTCTGACCTCTGTGATTGCCAACAAGGGTTTTGCCACAAAGTCCTAAGTCATGTTTTGCAGAGGCGTCAAATACTTATTTCCCTCATTAAAATGCAAATCAATGTATAACATTTTTGACATGCGTCTTTCTGGATTTTGTTGTTGTTATTCTGTCTCTCACTGTTGAAATAAACCTACCATTAAAATGATAGACTGATCATGTCTTTGTCAGCGGGCAAACGTACAAAATCAGCAGGGGATCAAATACTTTTTTCCCCTCACTGTATACACACGTAAACATACACTCTTGCCCTACAAACATGCATAAGGGGGAAAAACTAGAGTGTTCCTCACCTCCGTCTCCTATAGAATGGTACCTCTGCCCATCTTCATACAGTAACAATGTGTTAGGATTCCATCTCCTCAATGACACACACACACACACACAAACACGCATCCCCTCTTCTCTCCTCCTGGACACTCCCACCCACCCCAACCCCCAAACAACCCCCAGCACCTCAGGCAAGTAAATGTTATTGTACACAGCATATTCAGCCCCCACAGCAACTCTATAAAGAATCAATTTTGGCCACTTGGCACGGTGCTAACTACTGCCCAGGGGGTAAGGTGAGAGAAGAGGGATGAGAGGGCTAGTGAGTGAGTCAGGATGGGATGGGATGGGGGGGAGGAGCACATTTCCTCTCAGCGTACAATAGGCCAAGGACTTGTCTGTCAGTGCAGGCTGCATTTAAGAACATTACCATTTTAGATTCCCCCACCAAGCTGCACGCGGCTCTGCACGAGGTGTGTGTTTGTGTGTGTGTTATTACAAAGGGAAAACCAGCCACGTCACGGACACCGACATCTTGCTCCTGGACAAGCTAAACACCTTCTTCGCCCGCTTTGAGGATAACACAGTGCCACCGACGCGGGCTCTAGTTCTCCGTGGCTGACGTGAGTAAGACATTTAAGCGTGTTAACCCTCGCAAGGCTGCAGGACCAGATGACATCCCTAGCCGTGTCCTCAGAGCATGCGCAGACCAGCTGGCTGAAGTGTTTACAGACATATTCAATCTCTCCCTATCTCAGTCTGCTGTCCCCACTTGCTTCAAGATGTCCACCATTGTTCCTGTACCCAATAAAGCAAAGGTAACTGAACTAAATGACTATCGCCCCGCAGCACTCACTTCTGTCATCAGAAGTGATTTGAGAGGCTAGTTAAGGATCATATCACCTCCACCTTATCTGACACCCTAGACCCACTGCAATTTGCATACTGCCCCAATAGATCCACGGATGATGCAATGGCCATCGCACTGCACTCTGCCCTATCCCATCTGGACAAGAGGTAAGAATGCTGTTCATTTACTACAGCTCAGCACTCAACACCATAGTACCCTCCAGAGCATATGAGCGGAGTGGAGCGGTGAGAATCTCAGCTCCTCGCTCACGGAGCTGTTCACCCCTCCGCTCCCCCGCTCAAAGCCACATCAGGCCAGTCCGCTCATTATCGCTCAACGCTCAACGCAGTTTGCATCGCGCTCCACTCAAATCGCCCCCCGCTCACTCCAAAAAAGGAACAAAATCTCCATGTGTAATCGGTGAGCAGGGATTTGATTTCTGTGACAGCAGGGAGGATCATCCCCAGGTTCCCCAGCTCCTTCTGCATTTTGTCTGTGAGATCTGCTAGTGGTGTCAGCACACTGACAAGGTGCTTTCCCCCTTCTGATAACCAGGTGGCGAATCGCATCTCTGCATGTCTGGCAGACATATCAGTATGGATGACGGATCACCACCTCAAGCTGAACCCTGGCAAGACGGAGCTGCTCTTCCTCCCGGGGAAGGACTGCCCGTTCCATGATCTCGCCATCACGGTTGACAACTCCGTTGTGTCCTCCTCCCAGAGTGCGAAGAGCCTTGGCGTGACCCTGGACAACACCCTGTCGTTCTCCGCTAACATCAAGGCGGTGACCCGATCCTGCAGGTTCATGCTCTACAACATTCGGAGAGTACGACCCTGCCTTACACAGGAAGTGGCACAGGTCCTAATCCAGGCACTTGTCATCTCCCGTCTGGATTACTGCAACTCGCTGTTGGCTGGCCTCCCTGCCTGTGCCATTAAACCCCTACAACTCATCCAGAATGCCGCAGCCCGTCTGGTGTTCAACCTTCCCAAGTTCTCTCACGTCACCCCCCTCCTCCGCACACTCCACTGGCTTCCAGTTGAAGCTCGCATCCGTTACAAGACCATGGTGCTTGCCTATGGAGCAGTGAGGGGAACGGCACCTCCGTACCTTCGGGCTCTGATCAGTCCCTACACCCAAACGAGGGCATTGCGTTCATCCACCTCTGGCCTGCTGGCTCCCCTTCCTCTGCGGAAGCATAGTTCCCGCTCAGCCCAGTCAAAACTGTTCGCTGCTCTGGCACCCCAATGGTGGAACAAGCTCCCTCACGACGCCAGGACAGCGGAGTCACTCACCACCTTCCGGAGACATTTGAAACCCCACCTCTTTAAAGAATACCTGGGATAGGATAAAGTAATCCTTCCACCCCCCCCCCCCAAAAAAAAAAAAAAAGTGTAAAGTGTTTATCCCACTGGCTATAGGGTGAATGCACCAATTTGTAAGTCGCTCTGGATAAGAGCGTCTGCTAAATGACGTAAATGTGCCCTTGAGCAAGGCACTTAACCCTAATTGCTCCTGTAAGTCGCTCTGGATAAGAGCGTCTGCTAAATGACTAAAATGTAATGTAAATGTAAGGTGCATCAGCTGCCGTACTTGATTCAGGGTGATGTTAGCAACATTAGACTTGAGTTTGTTTTGCCATAACGGGTCTTTTTGGAACAACCGGATGAACGACTGAATCATCCGCAGCTGGCTGCTCCATCGAATGGCGCAGGCATTTGTGGGGCGGACACCTAATTGGTCGGTTTCCTCTGTGCTCTTGCGTACACTTTTCACCAGGTGCCCGACTTTCACTAACAGCCTATTAATGTTGTCGTGCTCGTTAAAGGCGTTTTTGATCGCCAGCTGAAGCATGTGAATGGGGCATCTCAGATGTAAATTTGACAAAGTAAAGTACTGATTTATCATAGTTTCTTGGGGGGGGGGGGGGGGGGGGGTGTAGCCCGGTTGAGCTGCGCTGGCGAAGTGTTGCATCCCTTCGCGTTCTCCTTTACTCAGCGGTTCATAGTCCATGAAAATCATTTCAAAAAATGCTACATCCAGCTCTCTTTTTCTCTCCCTTGTTATGGTTGGGCCTTTGCGTGCAGTGAATAAACTTTTGAATTCCTCAACCCTTTTCTCTTGTTGCTGCTGCTGCTCCTCTCGCTCTATAAAATACAAATTCATGGACGACACAAATTAAATTAAACAGATGGATTCTGGGTCAGGCTTGAGCATGCTTCAGACTCGTGGTGTGAGCGAGCGAAATTGGAGCGGGACATAGGGCGACGCTCCGTCCTTTTAAAAATGCCGCTCTGCGCTCTGTTCAAAATCCGTCCGCTCACGCTCCACGCTCGCTCCCGCTCCACTCCGCTCATATGCTCTGGTACCCTCCAAGCTCATCATTAAGCTCGGGTCCCTGGGTCTGAACCCCAACCTGTGCAACAGGGTCCTGGACTTCCTGACGGGCCGCCCCCAGGTGGTGAAGGTAGGAAACAACACCTCCACTACGCTGATCCTCAACACAGGGGCCCCACAAGGCTGCGTGCTCAGCCCCCTCCTGTACTCCCTGTTCACCCATGACTGCGTGACCACACACACCTCCAACTCAATCATCAAGTTTGCAGA